AACACAGAGCCACAAAATACTTGAAATAGAAACTGATAGAACTTGAGAAACAGATAATTCAACAATAGTTCAAGATGTTAAGTCTCAATAATTGATAGAACTAAACAGAGTATTAACAAGGATCTAGAAACAGCACCATAAATCAACTAGACTTAATCATTTTTGGAACACACATGTGCATGCATTCTTTTTTTTTTTTTTTTTGTACGTGCCCCTAGCGGGAACTGATCCCGGGACTTTCTGGCCTGCAGGCCGACGCTCCAACTGCTGAGCCAAACCCGCCAGGGCTGTGCATGCATTCTTAAGTACACATAAAACATTACCTGATTTTTGTGACATCATAAAATATGCCTTATAGTGTTTGAATTCTTTCCCTCCACAGCTTGCTTGCAAGATCCCTATTGATGCATATGACTGCAGTTTGTCCATTTTTTATTACTGTATGATTGTCTACTTTATAACATACTTTATTTATCCACTGTTCTGTTGTTAGACATTTGAACTGTCTCCACTTTGTGGCTATGCAACTGTTATCAGCCTGCCTGTGTATGTTTTTTGGCACGTGTTAAGTGCACATTACTCTTGGGTACATACTTAGGAGTGAAAGCTTAAGTGATAGACCATGTTTAAAAGTCACCCTAAGTAGAAAGTGCTACAAAATTTTCCAACATAGTGTGATGATTTAGCTACTAAAAGGAACATCGGTTTCCTATTGCTGCCTAACAAAGTAACCAAAACTTAGTGGCATAAAACAATAGCCATTTTCTTATATCCCATGGATGTCTGGTTCAGGAATTCAGACTATTTAAGGGTAAATTTGTGAAAGAATGTGTAGTATGAGCTTGGCAAGAATTTCTGGATTAGAGACTCTTTATCTTTTAGGCAGGACTTGGTTTGAGCTGGGGTGAGAATGAATGGGCGGGTCCTCAGAATTAAAAGGCTCAGTAAAACTAAAAGGCAGGATATATTCTGTGACTAAATATTCTCTCGGGATTCAAAGAGAAAGTTAACAGGGAATTTACAGTCTTCTCCCCAGATGACTCAATAAAGATTCAGGCACTCTCTGGAATTAATAGTGAACAAGCAGAGGTAGCCAAGTAGAGACAGGCTGTTGGGTCTTTTCTGGTTTCCAAAGAGTAACTAACTAGTCAATGCCTTGAAAGCTAAACTCTTTTCCCAGAGATGCAGTAAAAATTAATGCACTACTGGTCATGCAGCTTTTATTTACCACTTCATATCTTCTTGGGCCCGAGTAGGATTTTCCTTTCAAATAAGACTGTCACATGTTTAGCTAGCCGAGTACATGTTGCAGAGGATTCTATAAAGAATTTGCATATCACACACAAAACTCTTACATATACATCCATTAACAACAGTTTGTGCATTACAATGAGTGCCGATGTCAAAATAACTCCCTGTACTTAACAAGCAGCACCGTAGGAACACCCCCACGATGGCAGTGTTCACACAGTGCAATTGCTACTAGAGCACAGATCAAGTCACACATTTTCTCTCTTCTTTTTCTCGTCAGCACATACAGAAGTAAAAGATGGCAGGGGGACGCGACGGAGACTTGGTGGCAGTCAGTGCTACGGTGCAGGTAACTGTATTACAGGCAAACACACTAGCAATTAGAGATTGGACACAAACATTAAAGACGCTGCTGCTCTTCATCACCAGAACGACAATTTTATACTGCTTCCGTTGTCTCGACCAACTGCCAAACTTCAGGCACCTCCTTTCCACGCAGCAATAAAATTGTGAAGATATAGCCAGTGTACTTATTCCAGGAATAAGGAATTCAGTGATTCAACTATCTCAGTCCGTCGCTTGTGTGACAAGTTGCTCTGAATATTCCTCGGGGGGGGGGGGGTATAAAAACCTTTCCAGATAGCTTTGGAAAATGAAGGTAGGAGATATAAACATGCACGGGTCCTTCTTCCGTTTGTTCACCAGGATCCACATTCTACAATCACAGTCTGCCTTTATCCCTCTTAAACAAGTCCGTGCTCACGCTCACAGCTGCCTTGGGAGGCCATGACTTGGCACTGCTCGTTGGCTGGTCAAGACGAAGGCATGAAGTACGTAAATTAGAAATGTGCTTAGAAAGCTCAAAGAAATCGATTCACTAGCACTAAGCACCAAGGTTCAAGTATCTTAGCACCTCTCTCAGCACCAAGGAAAATTCCCAATATTAAATAACAAAGTTTAAAAAGCATAAAATTTGACGAGGCTTTAACATTTCATATGGGCCAAGAGCACACTTGTTGCCTGAACACTCTGAGTTCCTGACACCACCCGACCCAGCCTGCGTTCCAGCCTAGGAAGAGCATCCCAGGTACTGAATGAAGTCAGAGGGCACTTGTGGGGAGGATGGGGTCGGGGGGGGGGGGGGCGGGGGAGATTGATCAGGAAAACACTGTGAGGCCACAGGCTTTCTGAGAAACATCCAAAGTTGATTTTTAATCAAACAAAAGCCATTCTCAAGTGGGAGTCCATGACAAGTTCCTTAAAACTCATGATGCTACTAAAACTCAATTATTTTTCATATCAGGTAAGAGGATGTCTTGGTAATAAACACTTCAATTTTCATTTGTGAACCCCTTCCTCAATCAGAAGCAGCCCCAGAACATGGCATATACAGCCAAGGTTAGGTAGTAATGGCACTGTTTATCAAGACTATAAACCCATTTGTGAGTCAGGAAATAAATTCAGTGAGTATTTAAAATAGTAGAGGAGCCCTGGCTGGTTTGGCACAGTGGTTACAGCATCGGCCCACAGACAGGAGAGTCCTGGGTTCGGTTCCCACTAAGGGCAAGTACTTCAGTTGCAGTTTGTCCCCAGCCCAGATTGGGATGTGCAGGTGGCAACCAATCAATGTATCTCTCTCACATTGATGTTTCTCTCTCTCTCTCTCTCTCTCTACCTTCCTCTCCCCCTCCCGCCCTGAAGATAAATGCAAAAATGTCCTTGGGTGAGGATAAAAATAAATTAAAATTTAAAAATAAAATAAAATAGTAGAGGAGCCCTGGCCAGTTTGGCTCAGCGGTTAGACCCTCAGCCTGTGGACCAGAGAGTCCCAGGTTTGGTTCCCGCTAAGGGCATGTACCTTGGTTGCAATTTGTCCCCAGCCCCAGTTGGGGTCATGTGGGTGGCAACCACTCGATGTCTCTCTCTCACGATGTTTCTCTCTTCTTCCTCCCTCTCTCCCTCCTGCTCTATCTGAAAATAAATGTAAGAATGTCCTCGGGTGAGGATTAAAAAATTTTAAAAATAAAATAGTAGAGGTGCAGGAGGGATCAAAGTATATTACACATAGTAAGAGTCTGAATTATTTCATAAAATGTTTATTTCAGTTAAAGATTTTATATTTGTACTCTGTCTCGTGTGCGCACATGCGCGCACACACGTTCTGGGTCAAATGTGAAAAGTTCTTCTTACTATGGGTCACAGTCAAGAAAGTTTGACTTTGTTCAATTGACATTGTTCAATAGAAAACACCAAAAATAATAAACATGAAGTTTTAACCCTGATGTTAATGTCAGTAAGGGGTCAATTTTGGGTATAAACAAATTTTATGCTTAGAATCCAAGGTAAGCTACAGTGTTCTCAGTTTAACTTAAACACTTATGTTAAACTTGTTTTTCCCCCTACCCTACATTCTTAGGCAGGTGCTTGAGCACTATAAGGAAAAGAAGAAACCCTAACTAATTATTTGAGTGGTATCAAGTTACTCCCGGATGGCGATTTAAATGCTTTCCTGCCCTGGCTGGTTTGGCTCAGCAGTTAGAGCGTTGGCCCGCGGACCAATGAGTTTCGGGTTCAATTCCAGTCAAGGGTACATACCTCGGATGCGGTTAGTCCCCAGCCCTGGTCGGGTTGAGCGGGAGGCAACCAGTCGATGTGGCTCTATCACATCAATGTTTCTCTCTGTCTCTCTCTCTCCCTCCCTCCCACTCTATCTGATAATAAATAGAAAAATATCCTCAGGTGAGGAATAAAAACAAAGTAAAAAATAAAATGCTTTCCTTTCTATACTGAAGTCATACTGTTAAAATAAAAGTGGGTATAAAATTTTAAGTTGCTGTATGGTTTTGAAATTATAAATGGTCCAAATCAAAACAGTCACAATTTCGATGTTGGTTTGGGTTTTGCAAAATAAGCAACCACAGACAGAAGGAGCAATCTTGTCCTAACCTACGTGCACCTGCCTATAAAAGGCAGATATATGATAGGTAATATAGAGGATAGAGAGATAGAGATAGAGATAGAGATAGAGATAGAGATAGAGATAGAGATAGAGATAGAGATAGAGATAGAGATCCTTGAGTGAGGATTATATGATAGATACAGATATAGATATATAGATATAGATATCCTCGATGAGGATTTAAAAAAAAAGGGAGGCTAATCAGAACTGTCACATGGAGACCAAATTCTCCCTCTCAACCTGTAAAGAAGATGCTAAACAATTACTTTCTAAAAACCAATCATCTTAACAAATGACAAGACAACATTTGGCTTCTGAATTTCAAGAATCCAATGATGTCAGTTCAGTTCTGGTTCAAGGACTGCTGTGTGCACCTCACCTCGGGAGCTTCTCGGGGAGGCCAGGGTGAGTACTGATTGGCAGCAGGTTGTAGAAGAAAATGTCCTGGGCAGGACGTCAGACACCTGGGTTCCGGCCTTCGCACAGGCCACAGAAAGGAAGTTATGCCATCGCATAGCCTATTTCTTCAGGTGCAAAGCAAGGGGGTTAAACAATGATTTAGAGAGTTCCTTCCTGAAATAACTTCATTTAATTTGGATACAGTTCTAAGATTTTTATCCAGCTTGCTCTACAACTTCGTCTGTTCCTTTAATAACAGCTTTAATCTTCTAATAACTATTTCCATCAGCTTTACCTACAACCACCTACCTCTCAAACATCCATGTTCCATTAAGCCCACTCAGCCCATATACTTTTAAAACATCAAATAAAATAAAGCTAATAAACAAAATTTAAGGCATTTTTTTTTTTTTTATTTCAGCCAAGGAATGATGCATGCTACAGATTAATCTTTACTTTTCCCACTTGGTTTTTCAAAGAATACCACCGTTTCATCCCCAATGAACATGGCACTTGTTTGTTTCTTTCCCTTCTAAATTATTCCAGATTTTCAAGTGTTTTCTTCAGTAACGATGCTTTCTCCTGCAGCTCAGGTCTGTTGTCTGTCTCCATAGTTGCCAAGGACTCAATCAGGAGTGCTCTGCATTCAGATGTCAAACTTTCCCACTGTTTAGATTCTGAATGGAAAGAAAAAGAAGAAAAAAAGATTCCTCAGAGAACAAACAAGCAAAAAATACAAACCAGTCTTCCTGCTTTTCCTCCATATATCATATCCCCAAAATAAATCTAAGCAACTCCTTGATAACAATGCAGTACATAATGATCACAGGTTCGACAGTCATCTCAAACCCGAATCACTGACAATAACCCGAGAGCACACAAGGGCGCATCCTCGGCCCCACACGGGCGGGCGGGAGGAAGAGAACCTAGGGATGCTGGAGCCTATGGGACGCAGGAAGCATCAAGGCAAAGCACAGTGACAAAAAGCCGTCCACAACACTGAAAAACTATAAGATACGCTCAGTTAAAAAATCCTGAATAAATTTCATAATTCCAAAGTCAATTTCAACAGATGATATTTTATTACTACTTTAAGGGAAGCACAAAAACTAAGATCCTAAACCTTATCTACGAGGTTCTGCCAGTTCCTAGTGATGTGGTTCCAAACAAGTTATTTACCCTTTAGTCTCGTTTCACTCATCTGAACGTATTCGTGCACATTTGGCAAACAGGGCAAATTCGGTGCTCTAACTAGGTGCCTAGCTCTTTCATTTCAACAAGGAAAAAGGGGATTACAAGGTTTGTAGTGTTACTGGGTTTAAAAAGCCTGTTTTATGAAGACCTAGGAGAGGTGCTTTAATTGCTAAGAAAAAGACAGAGAAGTAGAAATGGCAAATATACAGGACCTGGAGAAATCTGCTCCTTCTTCACCCTCCTCAGTCCATGGGGTTAAAACAGTAAAAAGAAAAGAGGCCTCCTTTTTAAATCAGTAACAGATACACCACTGGAGAAACTGTTTTCTTTTACCACTGATACAACAGGCCATTAGAAGAAATCTTCTTTATAAGGTTAAAAAAAAGACTAAGAAAACTGCCATCAAACTAGATGACTGGGCGGAGACTGTTAAATGCTTTCCAACTCCACTTTCCAGGGTGTCGTGCTGCCTGTCTCGTGCAGCGAGCTCCTGTCACTATCAACCGCAAGCCCCAGGAACCAGGTTAAATCAGGGCTCCCGCTCTGAGACAGCTACAGCTTCGTAATACACACAAAGTATGCAAAATAAAATTTAAACACTTGTACAATGTAAAGGTTTTAGCTTTGTCCCACTTGGATGTGCATATATATTAATTTGTGTTTTAGAGTCTATACATATTAAAAACAAAAACAAAATAAAACAATTTCTAAAACATATGCCATAGAATATCCCTGCAATCAGACCTATCAGGAACTCACCTTCAAGCTTTTTAAGCAGTAATTCTACCACAGATAAAGCTTCTGTTCTCACAGACGAGTAGGTCTTATTTTCTAAGAGGAAAATCACAATGTACATTACTTGTTTTATACACCTTAGAAACAAAAGCTCCAAGATTAAGTTAGTGTTACTGAAAGCTGTTCAGAAATTACAAAGTCAGGGAAAGACAAATCTTTTTGTAAATAAGCTTCCCTTTCTGTTACCTACCATTAAATACCTGAAATGTGCTACATGTCCACATTACTTACTTTAAATAAGAAAAATGTCAGCCGAATAGCAATCACCACAACAAATGGCAATATTTAAAGGACCCATTTTAAAAGTGGGAATTCAAAAGACACTATCTCAAACACATAGTCATCTTCTCATAATACCTAAGACAGGTCTTTAGGTTTGCATGACCTCGTTTTAACAAAGAACGTTATACAACCCAGGGTCAAGGCCAAATCAGGGACACCTGAGACCCTGTAAAGACTAGTTTCTTAACTGCCAGTTCTCTATCCAAAAGAACACTACCTCCAAGAATTACAACCGAAACATGCTTCCTTGATGTCTACTCTAGATACAGCATCTAGTTCACGGTGAAACTGTCTACCGAACAAAATCAACACAACTAAACCCACAGCAAGGAATGCACAAGATGAGCTTATAACAGCCTGTTATGCTACAAAGCACAGAAGGGTTTACAAGAATAACCGTGACCTGTCAACAGGACACAGGAGTCAGCTAGAAGGAGTTTCCACTGGCCAAATCTGGGCCAATTTGAGCAACAAATTAATTAAGAAAAATAATTAGCCGTGGCCAGTTTGGCTCAGTGGCTAGAGCATCAGCCCACGCCCAGTCAAGGGTACACACCTGGGTTGGAAGTTGGATTCTCCAGCCCCGGTCAGGGTCATGCAGAAGGCAACCATTAGATGTGTCTCTCTCACATCAATGTTTCTCTCTCTCCCTCCCTGCCACTCTACCTTTAAAAAAGAAAAAATCAATGGAAAAATATCCTCAGGTGAGGATTAACAAAAATGAAAGAAAAATAATTATTTATAAACCAATTGGGGAAAAAGGAATCCATGAATCAGTATCGATTATAAGGAGACAGGGAGAGGGAGGGATCCTGCTTAGAGAGGAGGCCAGCTGTCAATGGTGAGTGTGAGGAAGTGCTGGCGTCAGAGGTCGTCGCAGTAAAGACTGGTCAGGAAAAGGCACCAGTGCACGCTAGGTCCAGAGGTATCTGCGGAGGAGCAGCCCATCTGCACGGTCTGAACGTGTCTTCTCCCAGACTGCCTTTTTAGATGCAGTTTTGAAGAAGAGCAAGTTATTTGAATGGTCTTAGAGTATGTTCCCACAGGCTGTTCATTAGACACAAGGGGAGGTGGGGGGGAGGGACATAATAACTGTACAGTAGGAATAACTGAATAGTGCCTTGACCAGGTATCAAAATTAACATCACCAGTGAGGGCAGATGGACACTGTGTGCCTCTGGACGTGAGGCACGTCACTTTCAGAGGGAGTATCCCAGCTGGGAAATCATGACCTGGGTCTAATCATGAGAAAACATCAGACAAACACCAAATGAGAAACACTCTGGTTAAAAAAAGATGGGGGAGACTTTTCTTCAAAATCGTCAGTGTCACAGAAGATAAAGGAAAGCTGAGGAAACATTCCAGATTAACAGAAAATAAAAAGATATGACAACTGCCCTGGCTGATGTGGCTCAGTTGGTTGGGCGTTGTCCCATGCACAGAGAGGTTGCTGGTTTGATTCCTGGTCAGAGCACATGCCCGGTTTCAGGTTCAATCCCCAGCAGGGGCACGCAGGAGGCAGTCTGGATATTTCTCTTTCTCTCTCCTTCTCCCTTCCTCTCTCTCTCATTTTAAAAATATTTTTTAATCATTAAAAAAAATTTTTTTAAATAAAAAATTGCATCAATGTTATACTGCCTAAAGTTGGCAACTGTGCTGTGCTGATGTGAGAATGCACTGAAGAATCCAGGAGTCAACGGGCGTGGTGTAAACAATATACTTTCAAGTGGTTCAGGAAAAATATGTATACAGAAGCACAAACGATAAAGGAAATGGGGCAAAATGTTAACAGGCAACTTTGGTTAAAAGATATACAGGTATTATATGTACTATTTTTTTAATGCCTTAATTGGGCCCTCAGCATGGGACAGAAGGAAAACCAAGGCACGGGTTAATGGGTAAGTCACCCCTCTCCATGGCACCCCAACCTTCCCGCCCTGTGGGACAGTGTTGTCCATGTCTAAGAGCTCAGCCTGGCAACTCATCAGGCTCAGGTTTTTGATTGATTATTTTTGCTGCCTTTTTTTGTTATTAATCTTCACCCAAGGATATTTTTCCACTGATCTTCAGAGACAGTGGAAGAGAGGGAAGGGAAGGGAGAGAAACGATGTAAGAGAGACACATCAATTGGTTGCCTCCTGCACGTGCCCCAACCAGGGCCAGGGATCAAACCCACAACCCAGGTACATGCCCTTGACCAATAATTGAACCTGTGACCCTTTGGTCCAAGGGCCAACGCTCTAACCACTGAACCACACTGGCAAGGGCTTTAGTGGCTTTTTTAAATTAAATTTATTGGAGTGATATTGGTTAATAAAACTATACAGATTGTTCAAGTATACGATTCTATAATACATCATCTGTATAGTGCGTTCTATTTACCACCCAAAGTCAACTCTCCAGTCACCATATATTTGACCCCCTTTACCCTTTATCCTCTCTCTGCCATGCTCCCTTCCTTCTGCTGACCACCATCACAAATGGCCGACAGATACATGGAAACATGCTTAACTTCATTAGCTATTAGAGAAGTGCACATCAAAACCACAATGAGATAGCATGTCACACCTGTTAGAATGGCTGTTATCAAGAAGACAAGTATTAACAAATGTTGGAAAGGTTGTGGAGAAAAGAAACCCTCATTCACTGCTGGTGGGAATAAAAACTACTACAGCTACTATGGTGGTTCCTCAAAAAATTCAGAAGAGCTACCATATGACCCAGCAACCCCTCTTCTAGGTATCTACCTGAAAATTTTGAGAACATTTATTCACAAAGACATGTGTACCCGTGTTCACTGCAGCTTTGTTCACGGTGCCCAAGACCTGGAGACAACCGCGATGTCCCTCAGACGACTGGATAAAGAGGATGTGGTACACGTATACAGCAGCATACCACTCAGCCACAAGAAAGATGAATACTGCCATTTGTGACAACATGGCTGGAGCTTGAGAATATCATGCTTAGCAAAATAAGTCATAGGGAAAAAGTCAAGAACCATATATTTTCCCTCATATGTGAAACATATGTACTATTATTGCAACTGTTCTATAAGTTTGAAATTATTTCTCAAGTAAACATTTTTTTTTTTAATACTTATCACAAAGGTTTTTCTAATCTAGGTGTTAAAATCCTAAATTGTAGTTCCAGGTTAATATATTTGTTTGGGCATACATACTACTGAGTACATCAAATAGGATAGTTCAGTTCCATAAACTTAGTTCCTAGCATAAGGTAGGAAGTATTTAAAGCTTAGCTCCTTGACCTTTAAAATTAGGACTCCTTATCAATGCCAGTTTACCACACTCACCTAAAGAATATGTGATTGATTTACAAGTTTCAAGGAGAATTTCAGCCAAAGCCTCTGGATCCGCATGTTCTTCTTCCAAAAGCATTAATCTATAAAAATCAGAAAGCAAGATACAAATGCCAGTTGTTTTTTTTGTTGTTGTTTTTTTTAAATACTAGTTGTCACAGTTTATTTTATTTATTTATTTATTTTTTTTATCCTCACCCAAGGACATTTTTCCATTTTTTGTACAGATAGAGTGGGAGGGAGAGAGAGAGGGAAACATCGATGTGAAAGGGACACATCGAGTGGCTGCCACCCGCACGACCAACCAGGGCCGGGGAGAAACTGCAACCGAGGTACACGCCCTTAGCGGGAACCGAACCCGGGTCTCTCCAGACCGCAGGCGGACGCTCCAACCGCTGAGCCAAACCGGCCAGGGCACAAATGCCAGTTTTAAGAACCATCCCAAAACCTTTCTGGTACAAATCATCTGTCTACATGTATCACTTTATGATGTCACTCTAGCATTTTAGTTTTACAATTTTAAAGAATTTCACTGATCATGTATAAAATACTGAGAAGGGAGAGACAAAATAAATGCCTGAACTATGAAGCGAATTACCCCTGAAAAAAGGCATTCATTGACTGCAGGACTCCGAGCTGCACTTTCCAGGTGCTGAGTTTCAGCCGCTCACACATCAGCTGGCATAGCTCCTGCCGATAGCAACCTGGGAAACAGACAGAATGGGGCAGAGCGGGACAGGGAGTGTGAAAGAGCCAAAGACAGAGCGAGTGAGGGACAAACAGAAGGACAGAGACAGGAACAGACAGGGATAGAGGGACACAGACAGGAGGAGGAAGGAGGACAAAAATAAAACAACAAATGCCTTTAGTTAAAGCCATGAAATTAAAAAAATAAAATAAAAAAACTTCTGGGTGACTGTGTGTCCAATTCCCAAACAAATTTCCCTGATCGGAACTTTCCCATGAAGGTCCTATATAACTGTTCAATGTTGATTTTCAAAGCAATATCCTTCCCCAAGGAACTGACACAGAACCTTAACCCCACTCCCATTCCCTGTAAAACAGCCAAAATGACAGCCAAAAATGAGCAGAACTCTGGAGGCTGGGAGCTCCTGGGGACACTCAGGAGCTTCTGCACGCTGTAGGCTTACCAACAGACAACAGTGCTCTATCCCAAACCTGTCATGTCAGCTGCACTTGTAATTACAATTATCTAACTAATCGTACTCTATGAAACAGGGGCATAAAACTCAACAAACTCATTATTTTTTAAGTACTTTAAAATTTAGTTCAGCTCACATATGTAAAGACAGATGGGGGTAAAAATCTACAAGAATTCTGCACTGGAATTGCTTCATAAAAGATTATTGGCTTCTTTTTCTACAAAGTAACAAAAATCAGAAATTATAAATGATACCTTATAAGTAAGGTGTATATGAGAAGCCAGTGTGTAACAGTTGAATTCTAAAGGCCTTGGCCTTCCCCTCAATAACTGGCAAATTAATATACATATCTATGCCCTACACTAAAATAAAGTGCTTTGTGTATGTATCATTTTTATATAATTCCCTACTTTTTCTACTCCATTCAAGAAAAAGTCAGCAGTAGTCCTAATGGCATCAAAAAAGTAGACTTCCACTGCAGTCCATAACATAATACCAAGATATAAGACTATTTACAAATAGGTATCTTTTGGAAAATCCTTCTTATACAGAGCAAACATACTTCTTGAAAGTTCACAAAAAAATAGCAAGGCGCAAAGACAATCAATCTTAAGTCTGATTTTAGACACATCCAATCACAACTAATCAACATACTTTTTATAACATTCAAGCATATTAAGATGTCTGGTGGGACACACTGCAGAAACTAACACGAGGCAAACTTCAGAGGAGCATGGTCCCAAGTTCAAGGCCCTGCCAAAGGACTCCTAACTAACTGCAACCTAATCCAACAATAAAGGTTTACTGTTTATTTATTTAATCCTTTGGAAATACGCATCCAATTCGAAAAATCTCTATTTCAAGGTTCTCGGTGAAACAGAGATTTCACTCCCTTATTGAAGATTTGTTTACTTACAAGGCCATTAATTTCAAAATGAAGAGACCCCACTAAATAAATTCTATGGATTCCTCAGGAAACAGCATCACAAAGAAGAGTAACAGAATTCTTTTCACAAACTATCTAGTGTATCATGGTTGTTAAAGGCTGAATTGTGTCCCCCAAATTCATAACTAAAGTCCTAACCCCAAGAACATCTGAATGTGACTGTACTGGGACACAGCATCTTTAAAGAGGTCATTAGGGTGGGCCCTAATCCAATATGGCTGGTGTCCTTATAAGAGAGATTAGGATACACAGACACAGATGGCTATTTACAAGCCAAGGAGAGAGGTCTCAGAAGAAACCAACACTGTCAACACCTTGACCTCAAATAGAATGGTGAGAAAACAGATTTCTGTTGGTTAAGCCACCCAGTCTGTGGTACTTGGTTCCAGCAACCCTAGCAAACTAATACAATAGTCAATGGAATTATCTGCCGATGTAGGAGTAAAATTTCTGTTGGATAATTGTCACTATTAATCGGTCAAGCTGTACAAGAACTAATCTGGCACACAGAACATCTTTGCTCTCGTTAAGTGACCTCCGGTTACAGCACTCCTTCCAGGGCAGGTGCTGGTGCTTACGCTGAGTCTCTGCGTTTCGGGGCCAGGCTTTGCCCAGGCTCTGGAAGGCGCCCAGCAGGGACTCCAGCTGGAGCTCCTTTTCCTTCTCATTCTCATCTTCATTTTTGGTGGTTCGGATTCCAGTGATTTCAGGTGAGTTCTGGGACCAAAAAAAAGGAAAGCAAAATTTTTTTTTTCCCCAAAGTTACAGGTGTACTATTAAAACAATCAGGACGCCAAAGTAAATGTTAATCAAGAATTAAATGCTAAATTCTCTAGCATGAGTCTTCCTACTTCTAACAAGAATCTGTAACAGTATACTACAACTCTCTAATAAATATGGAAAATCCTTTCAAGGAAATCTGTAAGCAAGGATGAAAAAAATACTGTATATATAGTATTTTGAGCAAAACATAAAATGACTTGCATTAGAATCATGGAATTAAAGGAACCTGGTAATGACCTAAACCCAAACTCCTATAATCAGAGAAAAACAGTTTGGGAAGTGACTCATCCAGCTAGCCGATGACATCATCAATCCAAAATATAAGTCTCCCAAACCCATTATGTAGGTAACTTGTTTAAATTTTTTAAACAGCATTTTACTCAACGAAAACAACTCCATATTATCAGCAACACAAGAAATAAGAATGCTATTTAAACTATTTCATGTTTCACAAAAAATAAACAGGTAAACTATACCCTTAAGTCTTTTTTGGATCACACTTCCCAATATACGGCAGAGGCAATTAACACTGACACCCAGAGCTCAAACCTTCCTAATGCCAAGACCCTTTAATACAGTTCCTCATGTTGTGGTGACCCCCAGCCATAAAATTATTTTCGTTGCTACTTTATTACTGTAATTTTGCTACTGTTATGTCTTAGGCAACCCCTGTGAAGGGGTCATTCAACCCCCAAAGGGGTCACAACCCACAGGTTGAGAACCACTGCTCTAGGATGACAGGGACTTCTGCACACTCTCCTAAGTCAAAGCTTATTAAAATTCTAGGGTGGGGCAAAAGCGGGTTACATTTGTGAGTACACAAAACACAGAGTTTATTCTTTTAGTAGTGTTTATTAATTACTGTATTGTTTTCCATATGAACAACTGTAAACAAACTTTTGCCCACCTTGTAAGACAGAGAATATTCATTCATTCCAATATCCACTCCTGGGAACTCACTGTTCCCAGAGCCTAGAGTTTTCTGCCTTAAACTCATCTTTCTGCTTTGTTTTAAAAATAAAACTAACCCACTCTCCACTCTCCCAGGGAGGGCCGATAGACACCCAGGGTCTGGCTAAGTCCTGGCTGATGGGATGGAAGTGAACGTGCCACGTGGCCGTTGCCAGGGACTCTCCTTAAGAAAGAACTGGCATGCCTACTTTGATCCTTCATCCTCTCTTCATCTCCTCTGCCTCCACCTGCCTGGAATGTCGATACACCGTGGGCCCTGAGGACAATGATTTTCCGCAACCTGCAGCTACACTAATCCTAAAATAAAATATGCAAACAGAACACAGAAAAATCTTTTCTTTTCAATTTTTAAAGTATAAACCAGACCAGATAGGATACAGGTGGTCATTACCTTCTTGATGAGAGGTATGACAATGTCAGAAAACTCCTGGAATCTATCTTCTTTGGTGGCCTTCAAGACATCCCCTGCACAGCTGATTGCTACAATCTTGTATTTGGGATTCTCTTTGCAACACTCCTTCAGAACAGCTTGGAGAATTTCATTTGTGCTGGGTTGATTGGGCACAGGCTTTTCCAGCTCTGCACTACAGGATCCACACAAAAGCAGCAGAACGTTAATAAAGGCCACAGCTTTCAGGTTGGTTAAGAAATGGTATCTTCACTGAAAAAACATTTACCTGCAAGCTGTCACCACACAGGCAATGGCTTTCAATAGTTCTTCCTAAAGGGTTGAAAATAAGAGAATGCTAGTAAGCACATATGTGTCATTTACATTCTCTCTTCTATGACTACTATTACCTACAATATAATAACTATGGCACAAAAGTTAACTAGAGTCATCTTATCTTTAAGCTCTTTACTGTTTAGTAAGCACATCCGCAGAAGCAGAATAACTGCCTTTATCTCCATTTCATAAAATCAAGAACTGACTTGCCCAAGGCCACACAGGCAGAAGTGTGCACCATGGAACCAAAACTACTACATCTGACTCTTCGCCCAGCACTTCTACAGTACTGCACGGGTGACCACTAACTCTTACAGCATCCAGCAGGTCGTCACATGCTGCCATATCTCATCTTCCCTGCTGACAGTTCGCTGGAAGTATTCTGCTATCACCCTTGTGTAAAAACTGACTGTTACTAATTCACAGACCCGGAGATAAGCCCCTCAGGTCCAGGTTCACACAGCTCGCCTTACTCCTCAATGTCACATGTGCCCAATCCTGATCTCTGCATGAGGTTTCATCAGGTACAAAAGAGTTACCACTGGTTTGAGACTTATTTTAAAAAGTTGAACATGGTAAGTAAAATTCCATCTCCAGCATTGCTGTGCGGTATTCAGGACACATGGGTTGCACTTTAATGAAATATCATACTTAAATCAGACAGAGTTCACCCAAAGTTTCCCAATGGCTAAAAAATCTGATTCACAAAAACAATCCATCTGATGTCCCACAAAAGCAGACTCTTAATTTTTACAGGAAATGAAAGATGAAGTCATCATCCTTTAAGAATACCTTAAATTTAACTGGGCATGAATGGTTCCTTTACCTTTCCTGCCCATGTTCTTCCAGCGAGGCCTTGCAGTAACGCACTCAGTATCATTCCCAGATACGGAGGTACCAGGGAGCTGGTTTGTTTAGCAATCGATGCCATGGCAACCGCACCCTGGGCTTTCATTTTCCAGGACTGAGACTGTAAAGCCTTCTGGGTAATAGCAATCAACTCCTGCAGGTATAACCGAATGCCACCAAAGGAACCTAGGTTATAAAAAGTAAAATTAAGGCAACTTTTAAGAGACCCCCCCCCCACCAAAAAAAGCTTAACTGATTTTTCTTTTCTAAATCTGAAAAAAAAAGTTAGTGACCATCAGTCTAAAGCAGTGATTCTCAATGGTTACACTACGCCACTCTCTAAAAGGGAGAGAAAGCGGGTGGTGGTGTGATGGATCTTTACCACAGCAGGACTTGATGAACTTGGATATGCCCATGAGGGCATCATGCTGCGGCCCTCATCCACTGATATGTGTCAAGGTACAAAACAGAGGTGAGAAGCACTACTCTAAATGATACTCAAAGGCAACATGAAATCACTGTTCACTCTCAGGTAAGTAAAACTCGACTCTGCTGGGGCAGTTTCTACTCTCACACGTGGGCAGCAGAGGGGGGGAGAGAAGAGCTCTGAACGGCAACCCTGAGAACCCAGCAACCTGCATACAGGCTCCCAACCGAACGGGACACATGCTGTCACAGTTCTTCAAGAGCAACCACTGGAGTTTAAGAATAAAAACATGTGTAAAAAACTCCAGCTGTGGTTCTTAAGAAACAGGTTTAATACAGGACATATGCTGTTAGAGTTCTTCAAGAGCAAATAAAAATATGTGTAAAAAATTCCAGCTGTGGTTCTTAAGAAACAGGTTTAATTCATAGCTACTCTTGACTAACCAGGTACATTCTCCTGCCACACTTCAGTCCATAAGTTACATTCTTCTTTTTCTGATTTCTCCTCATCGGCAATCTCATGCATGCCTAGAAATGCCAAAGGCAGAACCTCTTTGGCATGGTTCTTCAATACGTCAGGGCTGTAGCGTCCAATAGCATGAATAGTCAAAGCACAAGAGGTCTTGTAGATGGGCTCTGAAGAGAGAGAGAAAAAAACCACCATCTTTATGATACTTACTGTTTATAAGGGTAACTAATCTAAACAGACTATTGCTCAATCTGCACCACAGTCAGTAAAATCAATTAGAAAGGTTCCTAGCAAAGCAGATAAAATCATAGAGAGTAAGACCTGGTTTGCACTGTTTGATTAGGTTGTTAACATCTAAATTTAAAAGAACACAACTATAAAAAAGGTACCGTCTTTCTCCATATACCAGCTATTGAGCTTCTGTAAGAGTTTCTCAGTGCTGCTATCCCGTGAGGTCTGAAAAAAAAAGAAACAACCCTGTGATTTCTTTATAGTTATCAAAGTATAATTACTTAACTAAGTAAGAAATTCAACTCACCCGAACTAAATGGCCCATGGCAAACGCACAGGACTTCTGAATTACACTGTTCCGATCTGTCAGGCCACTAAGCAAAGCACTCATAAGTTTACCTACCAGAAATGAAGGAGATAAATCTGATACTTGGTTGACCAAATGTTTTGCTCTGTTCCCAAAACCAAAACAAACTTAACCCTGTAATTAACACCTGATTTATTCCGTGGTAGTTTAGAACCCTTGTATGTTATATTTGTACTGTCTATTTGCTTCCATTTGCCTGATGTAAAATTAAAACTTAATCTGTGTCTAGAACAGTGTGAAGAAAGTTGAAAAAAATGAAAGCTAGGTACATAAAGTTCATTAGGTCCATCCGGGAGCTAATCTAAGAAGAGAAAAATGCTGATGTAAAATTAGCTATACAGTAAACAAATCCTGCAGGAGAGCAGACTTTTCACTCTCCTGTACCACTAAGAAATAATCTAACACTTATACCAGTAAGAACTTGCTAAACTTAATCATCCTTTACCTTCTGCAAACAAAGAAATAAAGGTTGAGGGAGCAAAAGTATACATACAGTATCACAAGCATGTTGCAATGATAATTATTTTCCTCTTTAAAACCTTGTCACACAAGACATGGGCATACAAAAATATCAACCACACACAGTTTGGACAAGCTCACCTGAGTAAGGTGTGAGGTCCTGGGGACACTGAGTAGTTAATGACACAATGACGCTGGCACAGCCTCCCTACAGGGTTACAAAGGCAAAGGTCTAAATTGGATGGTCACAGTGTTCTCGACCCCTTTGTTTTAGGGGGATGTCAAAGATTTAAAAATAAAATGTACACAAAGCCTAACAGTCCCTCCATGAATTAATCTAGAAAGAGAAAAACTCTTATTTTAAATGATGCACGCAGAGATATTTTTTCAAAACCGGCAGGAAGATGGGTGCTCTCATACAATACAATTAAAAAAGAAAACTGGGCCCGGCCGGTGTGGGACAGTGGTTGAGCATCGACTCATGCACCAAGAGGTTGTCGGTTTGATTCCTGGTCAGGGCACATGCCCAGGTTGTGGGCCAAATCCCCAGTGGGGGGCATGCAGGAGGCAGCTGATCAATGTTCTCTCTCATCGATGTTTCTATTTCTCTCTCCCTCTCCCTTCCTCTCTCTCTCTAAAATCAATAAAGAAAAAAAAAATTTTTTTTAAAGAAAGAAAACTGATTCAGTCTTTTGGGAGGGCAACATATGTCATCTTGTCCATCCTTGTTCTAACATTTCCAGCTCCAGAAATTAACCAAAAGAAAAAGCTTCACATGTGTCCCAAGACATTCATCACAGTGCTTTGTTTAATATCAAAAAAGCTGAAAATATATCAGATGTTCTTTGATAGATTAAAACAAATGATGTGACAGCCATTAGAGACCATGTAGAAGACACAAGCACAAAAAAGATGCTGGGAAGAAACACTTGGAAACATTTACAGCAATTAGCTCTGGGTGGTTGGTTAACTTAGGACAATTTTTAACTTTCCCCTGATCTATAAATGCTAAAATTTTTAAATACAAGCATGTGTTAATTTTGTCAGGAAGAAAAAAATGTGAGTTGTTTGTTTTTAGAGTGAGAGGGGAGGATCTGATCCTTGAAAAATCTTGGAAAGACATTTTCCTATCCAAACACCTGCTGAGCCCTCTGTGAAAAATGCTAATCACCACCTAAACACAACCATGCCCTGATAACTGGAGGAACATTTCCATTAATAACTGATAATAATGAGAACCCAGAGGGCACGTACACACCAACCAGAGGACAGAAGTGACTCTAAAAAAGACAATCTTTATTAAGTCACATGTTTCATTTCCTGAATGAGTTACATGTTTTAATTTTTTATGCAACCATAAAAACAGATTAACCTAAAATGTTAGGTTTTATAAAATAATTGATTTTTAAACTTGATGGCTATTATATTTTTGCAGCCTAAACAAAAGAAAATTACTCTTGTGAAAAATACACTTACTTACCTTAGTTCCAAGACCTACACCACTTCTGATCAGCTCACATAATCTAGGAACTAGCTCACCCAGCACCGACACATCAAGATATTGCAGGCACTTTTGGAAAAGAATAAATATAAAGTTAACCTTAGCAAATAATTAGGTCCAGACCACATCCTCAATTAAAAATTCCCCATGTCAGTATGACCAGTGTGGCTCAATGGTTGAGCATCAACCCATACACCAAGAGGTCGCCGGTTTGATTCCTGGTCAGGGCACATGCCCAGGTTGTGGGCCAAATCCCCAGTGGGGGGCATGCAGGAGGCAGCCAATCGATGTTCTCTCTCATCAATGTTTCTCTCTCTCTCTCCTCACTTCCTCGCTCTCTAAAATCAATAAAGGGAAATAAAAAAAATTGCCCATGTCAAATATGCACCCACTGGATTTGACATGAAGTTGAAAAATCACTGGCTTAATTTTGCGGATTTCAATGTTAAAACCACCATTGTACTACAAAGACCATTCATCAGCAGTTTAACATTAAAAACAAGACAAAAATAATGAAAAACACTGACTTTTTAAAGGAGAAAATAAATAATGATTATTCAATTAAAAATGGATTTCTCTGGACCTACTTCCTCTACCAATCCATGTTTAGTGTAAAAGACCTGACCCTGCCCTGGCCGGTTTGGCTCAGCGGTTAGAACGTCAGCCTGCAGTCCAGGGAGACCCAGGTTCAGTTCCCACTAGGAGCACATATCTCGGTTGCAGTTTGTCCCCAGTCCTGGTTGGGTCGTGCGGGTGGCAGCCACTCAATGTGTACCTTTCACATCAATGTTTCTCTCTCTCTCTCTCTTCCTCTCTCTCCCTCCCACTCTATCTGAACAAAAAATGGAAAAATGTCCTCAGGTGAGAATTAAAAAAAAGGCCTGACCTTCAGTGGCCTGCTCTACCAAACCATCTTATTAAAGTTTTTTCCTTAGCAGATTTGCTATACTATATTTTTGAAAAAGCAAGGAAATATATTATTAATGAGCATATCTACAAGGTGTTTGCTAACTATTCCTATTTCTTTAAGCTTTCTTCTTCCTCCAATAATCCAACTAAGACACAACATCCTTTAACCAAACTTTGGTAATAGTCTGCGAGTAAGCAGTAAAAAATAACTACTTCTTTTATTCAGTCTGTGATCTGCTTAGCAGAACTATTTCCAGTAGCTCACAAGCTCTGGGTTAACCACTGCAGGGTACACTAAGCACAGCCAACCTTAGTGACTTCAGCGACTCCTAATCCAAGAGTGCAGGAGCTTAGCACCTCGGTGCCATTCCACTCCTTTCTGCACATCCCTTCCAATGACTGAAAACACACATCAGTAAAGCTCAGTTTTCGTCCCCTACCTTTAAGCACCTGCTTCACTGAATACTTCTGGCCTATGCCTTCCTAGGTTCTCCCAAAGAGAAGGCTCAGGCAGAGACAAAAATCTGAATTTGCTAAATAGTCTAAAAAATACTTAAATCTATACAGAAATCTTTTAATATATTGTTCTCCTATAACACAACTCTGGACTAATGGATTCTAGTATTTGGAAAATTATTTATTCCACTTGGTAATACAGAAGAAGAAAGAACAATACTAAGAAAAACACAAGTCACAGTAGCTGCTTGAATCATCCCTTAAATTTCTATTTCATTTATGCCCAGCCGGTGTGGCTCAGTGGACTGAGCATCCATCATCCCCTGGACTGAGAGGTACCAGTTCGATTCCTGGTCAGGGCACATGCCTGGATTGTGGGCTTGATCCCCAGGAGGGGGCGTGCAGGAGACAGCAGATTCATGTTTCTCCCTCACATAGATGTTTCTATCTCTCCCTTCCTCTCTAAAAAAATCAATAAAAACACATTTAAAGTAACATGAAGATGGAACAATTACACTCTAAGGCAGCGGTTCTCAACCTGTGGGTCGCGACCCCTTTGGGACCCCTTTCACAGGGCTGGTCTAAGACCATTGGAAAACACATATTTCAAATGGTGATTCATAACAGTAGCAAAATTACAGTTATGAAGTAGCAACGAAAACAATTATATGGGTGGGCGTCTCCACAACATGAGGAACTGTTTCAAGGGTCACAGCATTAGGAAGGTTGAGAACCACTGCTCTAACGTAAGCAAACACACACATTTTTCATTACATCAGGCACTGACCATGTTGATTGTTTCCATCATGGGAGAGGATTTGGCAGCACTGAGTCGAGCACTGTCCATCGCAGCCTGTAAACACAAATTTAAGCCAATCAGCACATTCAATTAACTGAGAAGAACCTCTACACCCTCCCATAAAAGGGCTTTATGCCAAATTAAAGAATCTTTTTTAAAATAATGTATATAACAAAGTCAAATATTTCTTTTGACCTGCACTCAACCATTTACCTGTAGAGGCAGTATCGCACTACAGGTGAGAAATTAAGACAATACTTGGAAATGAACTGCCATCAGAAATTAACATAGTATGGCTCTGAGCAAGTCATCCAGCCTTCTTGAGCCTCAGGTTCTCCATCCAATAAATAAAGGAACAGACTAAGTAAATTACTATCTAAAGTTTTTAAAAAATGTGTCTAAGTAACAAAAAAATTCATACGTTTAGTGCTTGAACTTTGTAAAAGGCCTTCACATTTACAATGGTACTTCAGTCTAATAGCTATCCTATAAAAGAAGTTCACACTATCCAGACATAATAAGTAAGAAAAATAAGGCATATAGAAGTGACTTGCCCAGGGCTGCAAAGCCTGGACTGGAATTTATGTTTCCTAATTCTCAACACCTACAAGGTTGGTGGGGAACCTAGGAAGAGGCAAGATTACTGCTAAATAAATGGAGAGGAAATAGCAATTATTAGAGGCAGAGGGAAAACATAGTACATTATCAGAATAGTGTTGGCAAGTTAAAAATCAAATAGTCAACTGAGAAAAAACATTTGCAATCTACATGACAGGAGTTTGATAGTCCTAATAAACAAAGACAGATGTAAAGACATAAATAAGTACAAAAATGGCATGGAATAGTAACACACAATTCAGTCACAGAAGAAATAAAAATGGCTACAATGAACACACAATAGTTCAGTGAAGGCGGGAGGAGGGTGTCAATGAGGGAAAAAGGGAAGGACACCTGTAATTAAAAAATTAATCAAAATTTTAAAATAAATAAAAATAGCTAATACAGTATGAAAAGACAATGGAGAACACTAGTAACAGGAAAGCGTAAATTAGAACAGTGATTCTTGCTTATCATACTGATATTATTCAATGTTTGCTTTAAGATATGGAGAAAGTAGAACACTCATAATATTTGATGCCACAAAAATCTCTCCTACAAAAATTCAAAATCACCTCATTGTGGAATACTGGGCATGTATTAAAAGGAATGAAAAAGATACATGTATACAGACGTGATATGTTGTTAATGACAAAAGGTTAAGTTGCAGAACATTTAGTCTGATTCTATTTTAAGATTCGTATGTTTGTTCGGGTTTATAGCCGATGACTACAAAAGAATTTGAAAAGAACACAGGAAACTGTTGAGAGTGAGTACTCCTCAGGAAAAGATACTGTGCTGGTAGGAGAGGGGCCTCCTAGCAAATTACCTTCTACTCTTTGTGTTGTTTTAATTTTTCATAATAAATGTTTCATCTGTAATTTTTTAAAACTCAGTACAGCCCTGACAGACCAATGAGTTGCAGGTTCAATTCCAGTCGAGGGCATGTACCTCCGTTGCAGTTCATCCCCGGCCCTGGTCAGGGCCCTGCGGGGAGCAACCAGTCGATGTGTCTCTCTCACGTCGATGTTTCTCTCTCTCTCCCTCCCTCTATCTGAAGATAAATAGGAAGAAAAAAAAAACCTCAATATATCTAAAAAGCAGAATAATTTAAGACTATGCCAAAGTCTAGATACAAATCATCTTTACTTGTAGGGTTGGAGTGGTCCATAAAGGGACTCTTAAAAAATGAACAAACATGTACAAAACAACTGTGTTAAATAACTGTTAATGCATTTTTTGGATGGACATGTCATATTCATCGAATTCACAGAACAACGGGTCAGCCTTCTCCCTACTCTCTCCCTGTGGCTCTAGTAACGGGCTGAGAAAAGTACCGTCCAAGGCACGCAGTTCATCCAGGGACAATGGAAGGGCTGTTCAGATGGACCTGAGGACCTTAACAGGGCTCTTCCTTCGTCATACTTACCAAAATGCCTGTGCTGTTTTGTCAACTCACCTTTTCTTGGTCTGTAGCCCGGAGACTCAAATAATTGAGAACCTGGGGTTCCAATACGCTTAAGGACTCGAGCAGGGCCGGGATGAGTTTTGGTGCATGTGGTTTCAACATGGCTCCTGCACTTTTGCTGATCTTCACAAGGGTATTAATGCTACAGACGCACAGAAAACAGTCCTTTCAACAACAGTAAGAAGCTCTACAAACCTAATCATGAGGATGTTTTGCAGTTTATTACATTCAGGAATATACTCAGTTGGTTTTAGAGCCTGGTCTTAGCACTATTTTTTTTTTTTTACTTTGTATTATAGAAATTTTCACACATGTTACAAAAGTAGAGAAATTCATAAGTGAAATTCTATGTATTCTGCACCAGTTCAACAATTAGCAACCTTTGGCCCGTTTTACTTCATTTACGCCTTTACCAGAATACACAGACATACTCTCTCCCCTGCCACTGTATTCTTTTGAAGCATATCCTCTACCTAAACTTCAGTATGTATCACTAAGAGGCAAGGACACTTCATCATATTCAAAATAGCAATAAACACCCCAAAAATACTAATTTTTTTTCCATATCACCTAATATCCAAACTTCCCTGTTTCACCATTGTGATTAAGTGTTTGCTGACATGGAACACAGGGTCCACCCACCTGTGGCAATTTACTACATTTCTTGAATCTTTTCTAACAGCACCCTCCCTCCCTCCTCTTTTTCTTATAATTTCTCCTGATTGTTTCTGATGGCGTCACTTAACATGTCCCTGTCTCTTGTATAGATCTGCAGGCTCAATCAAGTTCAGGTTCAAGTTTTTTAAAAACAAGACTCATGTTTCACAGGTGGCGCTGTACACGCCCTCCCGCGGCACAGCAGGATGCACAGGACACCTGTGCCTCTTCCTGCACTGCTAAGAGTGATGGGGGGATTCAAGTCTGCACAGCCTGAACCGTCCATTATGAAGTCCCCCAGTAGCCCTTTACCGGTGGATTTAGGAGCCACTAGTGATCATTATCTAGATTATTTTACTGAGGATAGCAAAATGATGGCATCCTAATTTTATCATTCCTTTGTGTTTGTTAGGTGAATCCTTCTAAAAAGAACTTTGCCTCGTCTACTATGAAATACTGCTGGTACTATCAATTTGATCTAATTTTAAGAGTGAAATAAAAATGTAGATAATGTTCTATCTACTAGATAGTATTCTAGTTTAAAAAACAAAATAAAAAGTACAAACTAGAATCCTTCTGTTGATTTTAACCTAAAATGGCCATCTATATTTAAATGTGAGTATATTCTTCTAATATTTAATAACTGCAGGTGGTCAAGTTTATTTTAAACCAAATAAGCTCTGCAATATTACTAAATGGTACAACCAACAAGCAAGCCCCAGGGCCTGTGGCATAAGAGGAGGATGTGCTTGCTGGGCACAGTGGCCAATGAAATTTTAAAAACCACTCTACTGAAGGTGGAGACCAAATGGCAAAATGCTGGTCGAAGGCAAGGTTGCCATGAGAATGTTTTTTTCGGAAATGTTGTAGGCCTTTTAATAAGTGTGCTTTCCATCGGCCCATGGACTGAGAGGTACCGGTTCGATTCCCAGTCAGGGCACATGCCCGGGTTGTGGGCTCGATCCCCAGTAGGGGGTGTGCAGGTGGCAGCCAAGCGATGTTTCTCTCTCACATTGATGTTTCTATCTCTCTCTCCCTTCCTCTCTCTAAAAAAATCAATAAAAAAAGTATTTTAAAATAAACAAATGCTCTTTCTTGGCTTACCTTGGGTTCTCCTCAATTCATTTCCCACACTTTCAAATCTACATTCAAAGAAACCCAATTCTACTAAATGCCTAGGAACTGAGTAAATCCAGTATATTCATTTCATCAGCAATTCACACCTGAGGGCTCGAACTTCTGTCACAGGACTCATCATTCCTTTGTCCAGAAGGCAAGGCAGAAGGGCAGCGATGGTTCTCTGGCCAGCTGCTCCTTTGGCAGGGTCACACATTTTCACACAAACCTCACACACAAAGAGTATGAAAATTAGTGAAACTGACCTCTCACCCAACACTTCCTACTTCCCACATCCATAGAAAAGGAGTGAATCCACTTTCTATGACACTACAGAAAGAAACAGAAGAATGAGATCTGGGATTGAGTCCTATGTCTGCAATAACTAAATGGAAAATTTGGTAATACACTTTATTTTCTAAGCTTTGGTCTTCTAACTTATGAAATAGAAACCACTAAAGAAGAAATGAGAAAATTTAGAGGAAAGTATTTAACAGCAATGACCTAGAATGCATTAATCCCTGATGTATCACAAAATCAAGTTCAAGTGGGAAACTAATCTCAAAAAGCTTGCCAACCTCATAAATATGAAAGATTAACACATAAACACAGCAGTAATAAAGAGAAAAAATAGATGTTGCTTAATCTAAATGAGTAATATGCTCTTCAGGGTCAAATAAAAGTCAAACCTTATATAAAGACTCAAAAGAAGTTCACCATTTAAAAAGACCGAAAATGTACTTTGTGAAAAATACTAATAGGTATTCTAGTGTAATAGCGCCCAGATTCTCATTCATTTTAAGAACAGTGAATATGATGTCAATTACATTATAACTAAATGTCATTTTATATGATTAAAAAATAAGTAATTTTCATGGTCATTTAGAACCCTGCCCCACCCTGATGTAAAATAAGAGTTTTCACCTTGCTCAGAGTTTTCAGAGATAGTTCTGCTGCTTTTCGAACAGATTCCTAAAAATGAGAAAAGTTACGCATCATTAAAAGTTCCTTCCACAATGCATAATAATTGCCTCCAAGTCCACGGAGATTAGAGAAAGGTCCTATTTCAATACCAGGTTAAAAAAAAGTGCTTCATTAGGCTCTCTACCCAACAAGGAACATATTTCTATGCCATATATATATATATATATATATATATATATATATATATATATATTTAATTAGATATGACCTATTTTGACCTTAGAAAAGTATGGCTATTAAGTGTAACAGTTTAGAAATTAAATGGATTATAAAATAAATGTATGGGGGGGAAGGGGAGACATCTGTAATACTTTCAACAATAAAGACAGTAAATGTATATCTTCTTTTTTATCCTCACCCGAGGACATTTTTGCATTTATATTCAGATAGAGTGGAGAGGGAGAGACGGAGGAAGAGAGAGAGAGAGAGAAACATCGACATGAGAGAGACACATCGAGTGACTGCCACTCACATGACCCCAACCAGGGCCAGGGACAAACTGCAATGGAGGTACGTGCCCCTAGCAGGAACCGAACCCGGCACTCTCCAGTCTACAGGCCGATGCTCTAATCGCTGAGCCAAACTGGCCAGGGCAATAAATGTAAATCTTTATGAGGATTCTGAGAGACTTTTTAAAAAATCTCTAATGAGCACTGGCTGGTTTGGCTTAGCGGTTAGAGTGTCAGCCTGTGGTTCAGAGAGACCCAGGTTCGGTTCCCTCCCGCTAAGGTCACATACCTCCATTGCAGTTTGTCCCCGGCCCCAGTTGGGTTGTGCGGGTAGCAACCACTCGATGTGTCCCTTTCACGTCAATGTTTCTCTTTCTCCCTTCCTCTCCCTCCCTCCCACTCTATCTGAACAAAAAATTAAAAAATATTCTCGGGTGAGGGTAAAAATATAAATAAAATAAAAAATCTCTAATGAATAAACAAAAAGAAAGGCAAAATTGAAATGCATAATTTTAATGGTAAAATATCTAAAATTTAGATTATCCAGGGGAAATGCAGAGGAATTGGTCATGTTATTTGGGAATGGTTGATCCAATTTATGAAACTTATCAGAATTATTCTGGATTATTTCTAGACTGTTATTTGTCCCTAGTCAATAACATCATGAGATCTCCATTGAAAGAAAGTCAGACAGTAACCACCTGTAATACAGATACATTGAGACTAAAATTTTGGGGAGAACTTGAGTCTTTAAAAACTGTCTGAATACTGAAATTTAAAATATATAACCACACATATTTTAACAATTTCATTTAAGCTATTCTATAAATAAATGTAGATTTTACCTTTATATCATCTTGTACTCTAAAAAGAGTTTCCCAAATCTCTGGAAGTTTATCAATGATGTCATCTAGGGGTCTTCCTCTCAATAAATCATTCAGAGCTAAACAGCTGAAAATAAACAATACGGTTTCAAATATATGACCAAGAAAGATCAATATTTTACTCTGAAACATTCACACCAAACAAGAATATGGATTATGCCTATATTCTAGTCCTAACCCCATCCCACCCCAAGACGACAATGACTAGTCTCTCCTTGGTGACTCAAATATACCACAGACGTATAGCATTTACAGTGATCACATATCTGTTCCCACCACTATAATATAACCCCTCTGCGATGACACATCATTTCTTACTTCCCAGTGAGTCCCCCGGGCTTAGAACTCTGTCAAGCCCATGGCAGGCACTGAATAAATATAAGTTATATTTGTGTACATAAACCCTCCCTTAGAAGAGTCATGAGAGTGTATAAATATATCCTGATGTCTACCAATTTAACAAGTGATCTACTACTTCTTTAATTTCATACTTATAAAAACTAAGACATCTTAAGAAAACCACCACTAGAATTTAAAAAGTTAAACAACAGTAACTGCCTAACCCAACCAGAAATATCATTTTTAGTAGCTTTAATTTACTCCTTTGGCACAAAGCATAAAATCTGGAAACTTGAAGAAAAGAAATTCAGTTGCATTTAACTAGTCTTGTTATTTCCATAAATGGTACCTGGATTCTCGAACTCGCCACATACTGCTGGTAAGGTTCTTTACCAAATCTTGAAGAATTTCCTTCAAATACTTATCCACCTAAGGAAAGCAAAAGGATAAAATTAAAAATGTGAAACCTATCAATAATCAAATTATTCATCTCTAAACTGTCTGACCATGTTTCTGTAGGTAACAGACTGAGTATGTCTGTAGGCCTCTCAGCCCACAATTCTCTTCCCCTTCAGTTACTAAAAGCTATCAGACTGATCCTTCTAAAATGCAAACTTGATCCTCTTATTTCCTCAGTGCACGAGAACAGAGTCCAATCACCTGGATGTGAATACGATGCCCTCTGTGACCCACCTAGCTCTGAAGACCTCGAAGGTTCTGTATCTCCTCCATTTCTTGGCACATGCTACTCTACCTTCCATCTCCTACTTGCTTAAATAACTCGCACTTGTCCTCCAGGACTCAAACCAGACATCACCTTCACAGAAAAGACTGGCCTACTCTCCGCAGTGCTCCCACAGTACCGTCTACGCACACACCAGTCCTCACAGCAACTACTGCTCCATCACACTGAGACTTCAAGGGCAGGGACAGTGTCTCACTTGTCTTTGCATCTCTGGTACTGTGCACGGTGTCTAATGCAGCGGTTCTCAACCTGTGGTTCGTTCGACCCCTTTCACAGGGGGTCGCCTAAGACCTTTGGAAAACACATTTTTCCAATGGTCTGAGGAATCGAGACAGCTCCTCTATCCGTCTCCAGGTGGTCCGCCCACAGGCAGATCCGCCCACACACAACAGGAGGAACTGTATTAAAGGGTTGTGGCATTAGGAAGGTTAAGAACCACTGGTCTAACGCATAAAGAAATATTATAAATGTTCAGAATCAAAGATGAATTTAACCTCCTAAACCTGTTTTATTCTGATATATACTTATCAATTTGGTAATAACAAACTGAAGGCAGACTCAGTTTCTATGTTGATCCAGAGAACCGCAAAATGTACAGCTTTTCCACCTCTACTCCTGTAGGAGCGGTTTTGTTATCCTCCCTTATATGTAAGAAAACCAAGCCAGCCCTGGCCAGTTTGGCTCAGCGGTTAGAGCATTGGCCTGTGGTCCAGAGAGACCCGGGTTCGGTTCCTGCTAAGGGCGCGTACCTTGGTTGCATTTTGTCCCTGGCCCTGGTTGGTCGTGCTGGTGGCAGCCACTCGATGTGTCCCTTTCACATCGATGTTTCTCTCTCTCTCTCCCCCTCCCACTCTGTCTGAACAAAATATGGAAAAATGTCCTTGGGTGAGGATAAAAAAAAAGAAAACCAAGACAGAGAAGTAAATAACTCACCCATTTAATAAAATGATGTCTTTTCTACATCCACTTCTCTAAACATTCTCCACAGGGATCTCATCCACACTTGTGGCTTCACCTTTCACTCACACAAAAATGATACTCAGGAGCTTAGACCTCATGCCTTGAACTCAGATCTATTAAGCCAACTGGCCTATTACATCTTGACTGACCCAGTGGTACCAAACAATCTCCTAGAGCAAACAAAACTCAACACCCCTTCGAGCTGAACCTCAAGTACCTACCACCATAAACAGGAACACACTCAACCTATTATCAGACTGAAGAGAGAGGAAGGGCCACAGCATGTGCAGGGACTGTAACAAGGATCAAGTAATTTATTTCAAGTGAACTATGAAGCCTCTAAAGGATTTTAACCCCAAGTGCACAATCCAGTTTGCATTTTTAATCCCTTTTACTGCTGATAATGAAATGAAGGTAGGCAAAGAGAAAAGAAAGATGACAACCTGTTCATCAGGAAAAATAAAGAAAAGAAGAGAATGAATTCAAGGAACACTTTGGAAGCAGAATCAACAGAATATGCCACTGGATTCACTTGAGGATGGGGGTAAGACAGACCAAATTAAGATGATACCAAATTTCCTGGCTTGGGTAAATGGAGGAACTATTCTCTCAGCTGAGAATAGAAAGAGAAGGTTGTTTTTGTTTGTTTGTTTTAAATATGTTTTTATTAATTTTTAGAGAGAGAGAAAGACATCGATGTGAGAGAAAAACATTGCCTGACCTGCACCCTGACCTGGGATCAAACCCAAAACCTGGGTATGTGCCCTGACCAGGAATCAAACCAGCAATCTTTTGGTGCATAGGACAACACCCAACCAACTGAGTCACACTGGTCAGGGTGGTAGGTTGTTTTTTCAAGTCTTCTTCTAGACATGCTATGTCTAAGGTATCTTGAAATAACATCCCAGTTAAGATGTAAAGCAGCAGTTAGATATGCAAGTTGGGAACACAAGTCTTGTCTGAGCCAAAAATAGAAGAATGGGAACCATCACAATAAATGCCCTTGAACTGATGAACTCATCTAGAGCAATAAAATTCAGAGTAAAAGATACCCAGAGGCAAGCCCGGAGTGGAGAAGTTCTAAGCGTGGAATAAAATCTGAGAAGCAGACAGATGATAGGAAATCAAGAGAGAAAAACCACAAAAGGTTAACTGATGGTTCCTTGTCTATCTCCTCAACTAAGTCAACTCCTGGAAGGCGGGAACCATGACCCATTCTCCGTGGCATCAATAGAACCTATCAACAGAAAGTATTGCACTTGCGTGAACATACTGCCATTTCCTTACCCAGCCACCCAATGGACATTTAGATTGTTTCCATTTTTGAGATTTCAATAAATGTTGCCATGAGCATTTTTGATACTTTGAAAGAAGCAAGCACGAAATAAAATAATTTTTATTTGTTTAAACTAGTAAGTATACAAACTAAGAAAGGAAGATGGATACTGGGTTTAAATCCTGTAAGTAATCTTAGACAAGGGTTTACAGATACTTGCCGTTGATTTGTCAGTGACCAATGCATTCCAAATACTTGTCATGGCCTGTCTGATGCCAAGGTTGGGATCAAATTGGTAACGATAGAGACGAGGAACTAGCTGAGGCAGAAAAGGAGCCAGCTGTTCTCCAGCTCTGGTGGCAATTACATTAAAACCAAAAGCAGCACCCTAGAAAAATAAGATGAAGCAGGTCAGATACATCTGTTGTAGTAAATTTTTTTTTTAATTTTTCTTTTCTTGATCCTCACCCGAGGATATTTTTCCATTTATCTTCAGATAGAGTGGGAGGGAGAGAGAGAAACATCCATGTGAGAGAGACACATCGACTGGTTGCCTCCTGCACGACCTCAAAAGGGCCAGGAACTGAACCGCAACCAAGGTACATGCCCTTGACTGAAATCAAACCCTCAAGTCTTCGGTCCACAGGTGGATGCTCTAACTGCTGAGCCAAACCGGCCAGGGCATGTTATAGTAAAATATTAACATATTCAATATATGATGATCATTAAATTCTCCCTCCCAAGCTTGTCCCTGAATTGAGCCTGATTTATTGGATGCCCCAGCTTTACCGATCAATAACAGCAGCCATGTGGTGGTCTGGCCTCTCTAAACACAGACTTTTACAAAACACAACTGTGTATCAATCACCACTGCCCACCAATGTAACAGATTTGGTTTTGGAGGAAAGTAAAAAATAAAAACTGTCCAGTGATAGTAACTTACCTTCCTAGAGTTCCACATTGCATGATGGTTGGCTAAATTCATAAATTTATATACCAGATCTGGCTGACTAAGATCACTGGCCAAAGAACAAAGCTCCTTGTAAGTAGAGAGGCCCTGGCTTGGAAACAAACAAATAAAAAGTATGTAATAATGTATTTCTCTATCTCTTGTCTTATAAAAAAATTTTTTTAATGTTTTCTTTGATTATTTTAGAGAAAGAAAGAGATACAAACATCCATGAGAGAGAAACATCTATCAGCTGCCTCCTGCACACCCCTCAGTGGGGATCAAGCATGCAACCCGGGCACGTGCCCTGACCGGGAATCTAACTGGGACTCTCAGTCCATGGGACGATGCTCAATCCACTGAGCCACACTGACTGGGCTTGTCTTATAAAAATGTTATCACCAATATTACTAGGACATCTTAAAATTATGTTTTCACTAAATTTCCAATATTCCTGTACCTCATCGCCACAAAAGGCAGAGAACCAGACTGAAAAGAAGAGAGAGGCCCCTGATTCAACAATCAGCAATACCTAAACACACCTGCAACGCCCCTGGCGGCAGAGCCCGCACACCTCGGGGGCAGCGCAGTAATCCTTCATGGTTGTGCGCGAATCTCTCTCACGGACATGACTGACTTGAAGGTAACTCTGTCTTCTCTAAGACTTTCCTAGCTAGACTCCGAGACACCAAGCCGCGTCCTCCCCAGTCCTGCCCCCACCCCACAACTAGGTGCAGTGGATGCCCAGCTGTGCTGCCCGATTCCCCTCCTCCTCCTCCAGGAGGCACCGGCTGGGAGCTGACAGAACTCCCTTCAGTCCGAGGTCAGGTCCTCCCACACAGCAGCCTACCACCAATGGCTAAGCCCAATGAAGGACATAAAGACCTGCCCCTCAAAGCAGGAAAACTCTGAAGGGCCCTCAGGGCCGGCTCCAGAGCTCCTCACAAGGTCAGCATCTGCTTCAGTGCTGACAGCAGGTCAGCTCCTCCTTGGGCCACTGGCCCTATTCTGCCCCCTCACCCTCCCGCCCCACCCCGGTGATGACCCGGGACACTCTTCAGTAAACCTCCAGCATACAGATCTCCACCTCAGAGCTGGTTTCCCAGGAAACCCAATGCACAACACTAGGCCTTTTCCACAGAAGTGTTCTTCTTCCAGTAATACAACATTTTCTAGGAGGGTGGAATCAGTTTCGTGAGTGTTCTATTTACCAGACTAAACATGTCTACGTGACTGGTCAATGGATTGGACACTTACCCATCGGGTGTTTTGCCAAGACCTCCCCCTTGAAATACCACTGTCTCTCCAGAAACTTCATGTTTAATTCTAAACCAAAACAACATTAAAAATTTAAATTAGACTAACATTTTTTATACCAGCATTCAACTAAATGATACATTTCATTTGCAAACTGATAAAATCAAATTCCCCGTCAAGTAGCTATCAAGTACAAGATGTAAAAGTCAACTATTCCTTTCCATCAGCCTGAGAATTTTATAAAATAAAGTCTAGACTAAACAAATTAATAGACCCCAGTATAGAAAACATCCCATATGAAGTTACACTGAGTTAAATGCGGTCTCACATTAAAAACTACACTTCCTACAAGGAAGGCAACATGAAACAGTAACCAATTAAATTACAATAATGATATCCTCTCATATTCCCCATGTCTTCACTTTCATTTAGCCAACAGTAATGACAGTATTTTTGTAATTCAATGCTTTAATTGTGCTGAGATCATTCAATTTTCAAAATCTGACCTACTGGGATGCTTGTAGACAGTACGTACTGGACAATTAAACTGCTGTCCACAGCATAACAATCGTCTTTCAATTTAGAAAAGACTTAATAAACAGGATATAAAAAGTTGGGATTTTCCCTCTCCCACTGCACAGTCTCAGTATGTGCAAAACGTGCCCGAGGTGTTCAAATCCGACATTTTCAAGTTCACCATACCTTTTGCCAGTCATAAGTGTTTCTACAAGCGTAGAAACCAACTCCTGTTGATCTTGTTCGTTGCCCAGTTCATACACCAACCCAAGGCCTTTAGAAGCAACATCTTGGCTAAGTTCTACACAAGAATCAGACAAATTAACATTATTTTAAGAAAAATGTGTCTATTGGCCACACCAAGTTAAAAATTTTAAAAACTTGTAACATTAACCCAAAATGATATCAAAGATATCAAAAGAGAATCAACCTGCCTGTCTTATTAAACATATACTAAACCTTCTCAGTGGACGTGGTCCCAGAAAGTCCCTGTGAATGAGGACTACATTCACAGAAGCACCACGCGACACTGCCGGGCTCCACGGGCAGCGCGGACTGACAGAGGACCCGTGGACCCAAGTCGCACACATCAGAGGCAGAGCGCCGCAGAATTTCAATACGGCCATACCCAAATTTTTTAAATGGAAAGTCAACACATGAGCACGTGGTTAAAACAACTCATAAAGCAAAGCGACTCTTTAAAGCCTACCACGCATACATTCGCTGTCTCCTGGCCCAGATCACCCAGAGGAAAGGCATCAGAAGTAGGAGAAAGCTGAGTTAGCAGAAGGACTAAAGTTAAAGAAGTCCTCAGCTCCATTCTCAAATGCAAAACTAAAGAACATGATTCAATTAGAAAATAAATAAGAACCAAGTTTCTTGTACCCTACTTTCATGTTCATTAATCTGTTTTTTTCAAAATTTGAAATATAAATTAAATGAAGTTTGGAAATCAAATATTTACCAATAACCTACCATCGTTTTCTGACAAAACGGACACAAATGCGCTCTGAATTTCTTTAAGATGAGACTGAAAGAAGAAAAAAGGCACTGAGAAAATGGAAACTCCTCCTCTTTGGGAGAATGAGAATCTTGCTCGCAGGATTCACACCACCTATAAAATCTCAGGACCCAAGGCAGTCACCAACCCTGTAGTGCTCTCGTCTAGGGCGGCCAGACTCCGAAGGCTGGACCGCCTACAAGCAGTCTAATGCACACGGTTTGAGCCTCCGCATCATCACCATTCTGGTTGTATGCCTTCAAGTTCAGAATCATCTCCCAGCTAGTATGTATCAGGCTGCCATCCTTCATTCCTTCCTTCTTTCATGTACAGCTTATTTCAAAGTATCTGTCATTGGTTAATGGCCCCAACCTCAGATTGCCCTCACCTTCATACACTTTCCTTCCTACTGCCCTTCAATTATTAATATTCCATAAGTGGTTTCTCCAACAGAGCCGATCACGTATACAGCATGGCTTACCTTCACTTCTTTATGGGTACTCAGCTTCCTCACAAGGGAAAGGAGCCAGATGCAAGCTGCCTGTCGCACATGTGGATTGGGACTGATGATTTGTTTATTTAAAATCACATCCAACACCCAAGGGACCACATCGTTCATTTTGGCTCCTAGGGAAAAGCAAACAATTTTGAAAAATTAAAATAACTGAATAGAGTTTCCTGAAAAAATTAAATATTAATCAACATTTATTCAACATAACAATCCTATAACATCAAAATCTAAATGACTAAGGTGTTCAAATAAATTGCAAAGGAACTGATAATCATTCATGTCAGAACCTAGTATATGCTAAATAACCTTTCAGAGGTACTCAGGTAACTTTAGTTCCCTAGAATGAAAAATTATCCCATGGTGGGAGAAGTTACACTTGTGTAGGAGCAGAGGGTATATGGGAAATCTCTGTACCTTCCTACCAATTTTGCTATGAACCAAAAACCTCTCTTTAAAAAGTAAGTATTTAGAAAAAAATTATGCGCACTCTCTCTAGTCTCAGCACTTTTTCTTTCTCTACTGTATCTTTCCCATCCCCCACCTAAAAACCAACATGCAAACCAACCTCTTTTGACTTCATGCTCCTCTCCAGCTACTAAGCCATCTTTCTCCTTTCCTGTTTCTTCAGAGTTCCCCAACCTCAACATTACTGCCATTGTGGGCTGGGTAGTTTGTTGTGGGGAACGTCCTGTGCACTGTAAGATTTACCAGCATTGGGGCCTCCACCCCCTGGAGACCGGTTGCACTGACCCTCTCCAGTGGCCAGACTTTACCAAATGTCTCCTGTGACGCAAAAGTTCCCTCTTCTAATCGAGAAGCACTGATTTTCAAAATAGTTATCTATACTCATAGTCTACATTTTTCTCTCATATTTTCCTGAACCCACTCAAAAATCAGGCTTTTACCTTCTCCACTCCACAGCTATTACTCATAAAAGTCAGCCGTCCTATGGTAAACGCCAATGATTACTTCTTGCTTCTCATCTTAATTGATCTATTAGCTGTATATATGACCCAGCTGACCCCCATCCCACCCCGATACAACTCTTCACAGATTTTTCTTCACTGCTCTGCCAGGACCCCTATTTCAGAGTGCACCTCTTCAAGTGTCCTTCCCTTGTTCATTCCAAACTACCAACACTTGGAACTCTGGGAAACCCCAGGTCTTATTTTTTGAGCTTCTCTTTTCTACGCGCTCCCTTGGGGGTTACATCTAGGTTCGCGGCTTTAAATACTATCTTTACATGATCCTCCCAAACACTCTCCAACCTGGAACTCCTCAACATCCCGCACTCATACTTCCAACCGACTTCTGGATTTTTCCATGAGGATCTCAGCCCCAGCTCGCCTGTGGGTGAGTTCGGACACCCCAACACAGACGGGAGGCGTGTGGAAGAAGAAAAGGCAGTGAGGCAGTTCTCCCTGCTCTCTCCCCCACCACCACTCTACGAAAGTTTATCTCCTACGTCAGTAATGATCCCCTCTTCCAGCTGCTCACATCAGACACTGAAGTCATCCCTCACTCCTCTGACACCCCACATCCAATCCAGTAGGAAATCCTACTGGCACTACGTGCAGATTTCTGTAAGCATCCATTTCTCACTAACATTCCCTCTCACCTGGAATTCTGCAAACACCTCCCATCTGTTCTCCTTGCTCTGTCCTTGCCCATCTCGGTCTACTTTCAACACAGCTCTACAATGACCCTTTTAAAGGATAAATTAATCGTGAGTCTCCTCAGCTCACAAGCCTGCAATGGCTTCCTATCAAAGGCCCCCAGTGACCTGGCTTTGCGCTGCCCCTCCGACCTCGTTTCTTACTCCCGGTCTCTCAGACACACCGTTTCCAGCCCCACTGACCTCAAACACACTCGTCTTCAGAGCCTTTGCAATTGCTACTGCTTCTGTGCTGAATGCTCTTCCCAAAAAATCTCCACAGCTCGCTCCCTCACCCTCTTCAGGGCTTCACCTAAAGACTCCTTCCTGAGAAGAGGTGTCCAGTGCACTTTAAAGGACCATCCGTATTTTATCTACTTTTTCTGCTTTACTTTCCTTCATAGCACTTACCACTATTTAACATGCTACATGTTTTCCCTTAACTTATTCTGCTTCTTGCCAAACCCCCCATTAGAATGTAAGCTCCATGGGAGCAGAATTTGACTGTTTTAAATCATTCCTGCACTGCCAACCCTCATACTAAGCTCTCAATAACTATTTACTGAACTAATTTGCTACTTAACGCCTGTGGCTATGAAAAAAATTCACATGTAGACAGACTACTTTGTTTCCAGAGGAAATATTCAGCTTCAAAGGGGTCTTAGAAAATCACTATTTAAAAGAAAACAAAATTTATCACTATCTAAAATGGAAAAGGTGAGACAAAACACATTTTGAATATTTGCAAAATGAAAATAAAAATAACTACTTCCTTGAAAACTAACTACTTACTGGCTCATCCTCCTAATTAACTACACCTTCACATCCAAACCTGAGCTGAGCCCTCCTGCAAACACTGCCCAACCTTCCTTCCTGAGCTCCTCTTCTTTCAGTTTTCATCCACTGAGCTTCTCCCTAGCCTCAGTCTAGGACCTTTTCCCTTGTCTGTCTTTTTAGGAAACCGGGAGAAACAGTGTTACCACTCTTCAAGATAGGGAATAAAGAGAATAGTTTTGGAATAAAGAAGGCAAACCATTACAGACAGTAAGAGGAGGAAGAAAAGATAATTTCAGGTTGAGACATACAGAAACACTGATGCCTGTGGGACCTCCGTGAAAATAATGAATTGTTGGTGATACAGCTCTGGAGTACAAGACAACGGTTCTAAGACAGAGAGAAACATTTGGGGTCATTGCCCTGGCCGGTTTAGCTCAGTGGCTAAAGCATCGGCCTGTGGACCAGAGAGTCTCGGATTTGATTCCAGTCAAGGGCACATACCTCGGTTGTGGTCGGGGTCATGCAGGAGGCAGCTAATCGATGTGTCTCTCTCATATCAATGTTTTCTCTCTTTCTTTCTCTCTCTCTCTCTCTCTTCCTCCCATTCTATCTGAAAATAAATGACGATTAAAAAAAAAAAAAGTAGGGTCATCGACATGTATTGAAGTTATGGGTATGGGTGAACTGGGATACCCCAGCACCAACAGAAGGTGTGGAGGGAAAAAGCCAGTGAAGGAGAAGGAGAAGAGTAAGAAGAAAACCCAGGAAAACAGCCTGGCAAAAACTAAGAAAAAAATGTTCCAAGAAAGAGTGGGATATGCTAAAGGCCTGGGGAGAAATGTAACCCAATAACTAAACTAAAAAAAAAAAAAAAAAAATAGAGGCCAGGTAAAATAAGATTTCAGAAAGAATGAAATGGGTAAGAGAGGACCCTAAGAGAAAAAAGAGCGAAAACTGAACTCACAAAGTCAGAAAGAGTATTAGGTGTTATTAGCTCCTCACCAGCCACATTAATCTAGTTCTGAGTCAGACAAGGACCCTTGTTTTACTTTCCCACACCACAATCATAGCCACCTCCAGTTCTCCCAGCTGGGCAATGACAATGACCAAATTAATGAGCCCTTATTAGATTCTCACAATGTGCCAGATACTGTGTTACATGCTTGAGACACTAAGATGACTAAGAACGAGGACCTAACTGGCTTCTCAAATTCTCTTCCTTCTATTCAAAGCAAGATTAGTGCAATTAAGTAGCATTCTGTTGAGAATGACAAACAGAACATGAATGATCACCATTCAGGTCACATCATCCACTTCTCTACAGTATTTTTTTTTTCCTTCCCCTAAACATTTAAAGACAGAAAAACCTCAACACTGATGGACAGTTTGAGACTCTTTTGGATGAGCAAAAAGCCCAGGGGCATCCAATCTTCCAAGACTAGTTGAGGGAAGGCAGAGGAAGTTCAGAAGTCTGAAGCCCGGCCTAGGTACATTACTATAAACCTTCATTTGCTCAAGTCACTATGTAGAAATCCATGGACTCAGAGACATGTCTCTTCCAGCAAATCCACTCCCCAGTGTGAGCTCTGGCTTCTGTCAAGCCTCTGGCATCCCCTCTTACATGCAAACTGAGAATTTCTACTTCCAATTTGGTCACCACCTACTTATAAACAATGTCACTTCCCTTCCTGGAGTATCTTCTTCCTTCTATACAAATTCCTCCTGCCCTTACTTTATATGCTTTCAAAGAGAAGCCTCAGAGAAATGACTCTACTCGGCTTCCATCAAGCCACAGTTGCCCTAATTAGAGAGTGAGGAAGTGTGCTTTCTACTCCCTGTAAACCTCTTTATGGCATCTACTGCAATAACAGGTGAACAAGGAAGTAGGTAAATCACAGCAGTGTTAAACGTTAACTAAAACACTAAGTAAAATAAAATTAATATATTCATGATGGAACACAATTCATAATGGAATCATTACCACAAGAACACTCTTTAAATTTCTCAGCTGCGAAGAAAACATATAAACTTGGTGATTTTCCTTTTATTTTAAAGACAGAAAACAAATTCTGGTTTAAATACTAAAGTATATCTTCAATTCCAAATTCAAATCAAACCACAAGGCCCATGAAAACCCGTAGTATCTGTAACATGTAATCAAAAATGACATGCTCCTCGACTGTGTTGTCACTAGAAGCAGGTGTACCTTTAGCACAGAGGCACCTGGAGGGGGAGCAGAAGACACTGAAGCCTCATTATGTGATAAAGGCTTGGGAGACATGTCATCTGGAAACACTATGCCTACACTTACAAAATTGGCTAAATACACCAATCCTCATGAAAAGAGCACAGATTTCAAGGTAAACCATAGCTAACTGCCCTGCTTGCTTGCCAAAGGACTAGAAAAAGTTCTCTTTCATGCCCTGCTCACTCTCCTTTAACCAACTATTTTTCTTGACTGAACCAAACTAAGACAGATGTAAGTATCTAAAAAAAGAGTTAAAATGGAATGTATAAATTTTTCTTTTGCTTCAAATGTTGAGAAAGAGAACAGAAAAGGGTTCCTTGGCAACTACAGATCGATTAGCTGAATATTTGATACCAGCAGGAGGAGTGTATTCTTCCTCAGTCACCAGCCAGGCATCGCGGGCAGCCACGGACCTAGTTCCTATTGCAGCACTGGTAATGGCCTCGCCAATGGTGAACTGAAGTTCTATCTGCTTGGCCTGCAACGAAGGAAACAAATACCATGAATCGGAGAGAACATTTACCAACAGCCTCCATTTTATGGAAAGGCTGCTTAAGTCCATGTTGCGCTCCTCACCCTCATGACACAGTGATTTTTAAGCTTCGGGAGCACAACACCCTTTACCTGGGGGAAAGGGCATGGATCTTGAAGCCACACAGATCTCAGTGCAAATTCTAGCTCTGTCCCTGCATATCCTTATTTAAACTCCGAGCCTCACCCTGGCCAATTTGGCTCAGCAGTTAGAGTGTCAGCTCACGGACCAGAGAGATCCGGGTTCAGTTCCCACTAGGGGCATGTACCTCATTTGCAGTTTGTCGGCCCCGGTTGGGGTCATGTAGTTGGCAACCAGTCGATGTGTCTCATATCGATGTTTCTCTCTCTCTCGTCCTCCCTCTCTCCCTCCCACTCTATCTGAAGATAAATACAAAAATGTCCTCGGGTGAGAATAAAAATAAAATAAAATAAACTCCGAGCCTCAACTTCCTCATATGTAATATGAGCATACCACCATCCATCTCATCAGGCTGGAAGGGTCAAATGAGGCGAATGTACAGAAACTTGTAGTGATTTATAGTAACTACAAAACACCTGATTTGTAGTAAATGCACAGTAAACAGCAGCCATTATAACTAACTCCTCTTGTTAATCTTAAATTACATGCTTTCTACAGGTTATTCTAAATGGCTCAAAAAAAATAAGGCATATGTGATAAAATGTTACAATTACACTGTAAATTTGAAACTGTTTCAAAAATCGAATGTTAGAAAAATTCTATACAGGAATTGTTAAATTTTTAAAAATTTGATTTCGAAATTTGGACACACTTCACAATTACAAATCACTGACTCAACAGGAAACGGATCTAGCTCCCTTTGGCATTTTTAAAGAACATAAAACATGAGGGATATGGCAATAATGACCTTTGGGGAGAACTCTACAAGGCATCCAGACAACAGTCTAGCTGTTCCTACGCTCCAGCAGCCAAACGCTCTAGTCTTGATGAGGTGTCAAATGCTGATATCACATGCTTCCTATTCTGAGAAAAGAAGATTTAAGGGCTTCAATCCCAGCTCCCCTGGTCAAAAGCTTCTCCTGGCAACTCTAAACTGAGAAAAAGAGATTTCAACACAGAGAATCCTATATTAGGGGTTCGTTTAATGTGCCTGTTTTTTACGTTTCCTATTGTTAATAACAAAGTTGGCATTACAAACAAAAACAAAACTCTTAACTCCATTTATGAATGATACACTATCTATACTGCTTTAAATAGTCCAGAAATAAAGAAAAGAAATAAAAATAGGCACATGGGGATTCATTATATTATCCCCTTACTTTTGTGTTGTTTTATAATGAGGAGCAAAACAGACTTTGCCTTCAGTCTAGTGGGCAATTAGACACTGAGATAAATGTGGAAAATGGAGGGTCACGACCGCACAGATAACTAAAGAATCTACATACTCTAGTTTGAAGGGTCAGGCAGGCTTTTCAAGGGGCACAACAACAACTCAAGAAAGGAGTATGGGTCTCTCAAAAGCTCAGAGCAAAGGACGCAGAGGCTGGCATACAAAAATGTGAGTGAGTGAGTGAGTGAGTGAGCGAGCGAGTAAGTGACAAGAATCAAGGCTGGATCAGGGGCCAGATCAGGCTGTGCTAAGACACTTATCACACTGGGCCGGCAGCTGTCAAATGGCAGGTCTTCACTACACTGGAGGACAGAGCTAAGTCATCAGACACAAGAGTGACTGGAATATCAGCACCCACTCCCCACATCTAAGCCCTGTGTAGGTTTCCCCTCCGATCCACACTGCACCATACTTTACTCAAAAATTATGAAAAAAGGGCTTTCGCACATAAGTGACCTAGTCAACGATATGCCAACCACAGTGATGAGCCTGAGAAATATTAGGTAAATAAATAAATAAAAGTTTAATTTAAAATCTCACAGCATACAACATTCCAACAACAACAAAAAAGTGCCTTTTGTTTGAATGACTAATAACCAGATAGCAATATAAATACCTCCACAGAATCCATCAGACCTTGCAAGAGGAGTTTCTGGTGAGGAAAATCTCCATCCCCAACTGGAAAATATCCCAGTGTTTGGATTGCTCGTTCTTTCATCTAAAATAAGAGAGAATTATTTTTAAACAAAGTACCTAACAGCTTTATCCCAGAAGAATGCTTCCAAAATGAGAGGGCAGGAAGGGGACAGTGTGTTCAACTAATAATGCAACGGTGCTTACACTGCTTTTTTATAGTACCCAATCTTACAGAATTGGGTCTGTAAGACTTTGGAGGGAGAAAGACATAAAACTGAGTCCATTAAGGGTCCACAGGTACAAAAGAAGAAAAAAGAAAGCTTTTAACTAAGATTATTATCCTTCTAATTGTAATAGTTATAAATGTAGGTTCTGGCTCAAAGGACCTCAGATCAAATTACACAGCCTGACCATTTTTGTAGCCTTTACAGGTATGTGACCTTCAGCAAGTTCCTTCAACTCTCTGTGACTCTATTTCTTCATCTGGAAAACACAGATGACAACTGTACCTTCTTCACTAGACCTTTTGGAGGACTCGATTAATTCACGTGCGTGAAGCACGTAGCACATGCCTGGCACACTACAAGTGCCCAATAACGGTTGGTAATTAGTAAATAATGACAAATAAAAACTACATTGTGTGATCTTCTCAGAGATTTAAACAATAGCTACACCAAGAATAAGATTACATATTTATTAGTAAATTAATTTTTCTGCCCATTAAATCATCTTATACTTCAACACGGAGGTGCTTTAACCACAAAGGAAATGTTTTGTAAAGTCCATGAAAATTTTTATCTAAAACTAAAAAACTATAAATGGACTTTCCCTCATAGATTACTCACACCCAAGCTTCTTAAAATCAGACTGGCTACAGGAAGTTAAGACTTAGATTGGGTCTGAAATAATAAAACTCATCAAATTATTTAACACTTTATTATCCACCTTTTGCATGACAAAAGAATACCCAAATCTTAATAGTTAAAATGGTGCATACACAAACCATCCCTAACTCAAAATTAAATGACCACCTAGACTTTCCTCTATCATTCCTCTGCAATGCCATCCTAATTGCAACTGTGTTTTTGCATATATATGTGAATAAAAATTTCAGACAGGAAGGAAAAAAAAGAGACTTGCCTTATTTGTTTCTTTACTGGAGGGTATTCTGTTTAGTAAGCTTTCTACAAGATGTAACTTGGTAAATCCGGATCCCTCACTGGGGATGGGGAGAGGACCATTTCTGCCAATTTCACCCAGGGCTGTACAAGCAGCAATTGCCAGGAGGGGCGATGTACTGTCCAAAAATGATCCTGTAAGCACATTTAGACAAAACTGAGAATAAAATACTATTATCCTCGTGAGCCAAAGAAATGTACTCAAGATATATTTTTAAGACAGTAAAACAAAATTAAAGTTTCAGTATCTTCTAGTTGATAATTTGTTACTCAGTAATAAAAACCATGGAAACAGTTCCGTCGGTGTGGCTCAGTGGTTGAGCATCAACCCATGCACCAAGAGGTCACCAGTTGGATTCCTGGTCAAGGCACATTCCCAGATTGTGGGCCCAATCCCCAGTGGGGGGCATGCAGGAGGCGGCCAATCGATGTTCTCTCTTATTGATGTTTCTGTCTCTACCTTTCCCTTCCTCTCTCTCTGAAAGTCAATAAAGGAAAAAATAAATTTTAAAAAAAACATGAAAACAGAGCACAGTAGTGTCCTTTAAAGTTTTTCCCTTAACAGAATCATCTGTTATATAAAAACACAGAGAAAAGAACATACAGAAAAGAGTACTTTTATTGTTATTAAAAACACAGAATTTACTTAGCATTGGTAAGTGTTCGCAAAGGCTTATGCCTTTAAAGTTGACTGCTGTAAGAAGAAATTAAAATGCTATAATTAATTTTAGCCTAATTCAAAAATTGTGACACACAGGTCAGTATGAACACATGAATTACCTATTGTTTCTGTGGCACTCTGAATAAGTTCCTCTTGTTCAGGTAGGAAACCAGCGTTTGTGTCCAGGTCCTGCTGCTCTGCCATTCTCATTTTCTTTTTAGCCAAGTATCTTCCTACTGTGAATCCCAGTGCAAGCACGGATCCATGCTGTATCTCTGGGCTCTGAATTCAATAACACATGAGCATATGTCTGTCTCTCACATGTGCAAGAATGCACTGAAATAACTGCGTGTTTACTAGTCATCTCTCCAACAAAACATAAGGCCAAAGAATAAAGTGATCATTGAGGTGCTACTGGATGCTAACAAGTCAGGTTTAGGGAACATGAGAAACTTTGAGTTTCTAACACAGATAATTCCGAGAAGTTAAGCTGAGTGTCGGTTCACTTCAAGATTTAGTTTCCCTAATCCCACTCCAACACTGGGTGAGGTGACTCTCTTGCATGTTCCTATAGCACCCAAACTCTCCTCTAGCTGATAGCACTTATGTAACTCATGCAACTACACTATCAAAATGTTCAAGCATAACTTCTCCCTATTGCCAGCCAAATACAATAAACTTATCCTACTTCTAATTGCCAAAACCTCCAAACACACAAAGTAGGAATAAAACATTTTAAAGCACATGGCTCTGACAGTGTTTTCTGATAGAACAGGCACAGTGATAGGCAGCAGCATTTGTATTTACTCCCCATTATGTTCCTAGCACCTAAAACAGTGCCTATCAGACACAAGGCACTCAAATTTATTGAATGAATTGACTCAATTATGTATCTCATCTAATCTTTACAATCATAAAAGTTCATTTTATAAATAACAATGCAAGAACTAAAAATATACTAGATGCTTTTTGAAAATTCTACTATCTCCCACAAAAAACAATGAGAACCATGCTGGTAACATACATGATTATCTTTTGTAGTCTTTATAAGCTGTTCTATCATCAACTTCAATTCATTTCCCGACACTGTGGATACCACCACAGAATAAAACAACGCTGCCAGTTCACGCATCTCTTCTTTACTGCTATTCATCAGACTCTGAGTGGTGTAAAAAAAAGAAATATATACATTATATAAATTCATCTTCCTGCTGATACCATCCAACATTTAAGATTAAAAGAATAAATGATACATTATATCGTTCAATCTACTGGCATCCATGAGATTAAAAACACAAGCTATTATTTCAAAATAAAATAAAAGCCCAGCAGGTGTGGCTCAGTGGATTGAGCGTCGTCCCATGGACTGAGAGGTCTCAGTTCGATTCCCAGTCAGGGCACATGCCCAGGCTTGTGGGCTTGATTCCCAGTAGGGGGTGTGCAGGACGCAGCCGATTGATGGATCTCTCCCACATCAATATTTCTCTCTCTATCCCTTCCTCTCTCTCTAAAAAAATTAATAAAAACCTATTTTTAAAAAATAAATAAAGAAACACTCTTAGCCTGCAGGCCGTATAAATACAGTCTAGTCCTGGCCAGTATGACTCAGCAGTTAGAGCATCGGCCTGCGGATCAATGAGTCACAGGTTCAATTCTGGTCAAAGGCACATACCTTGGTTGAGGTACATCCCGGCCTTGGTCAGGTCATGCAGGAGGAAACCAGTCGATGTGTCTCTCTCACATCGATGTTTCTCTCTCTCTCTCTCCCTCCCATTCTATCTGATGATAAATGGAAAAATATCCTCAGGTGAGGATTGGAAAAAAAAACACACAGGCCAGATTTGGCACATGGGCTGTGGTTTGATGACCCTTGATCTACAAGATCAAAAGTCAAAAACTCTAACATTAAAATCAGAAATATTCACAAAAAATAAAAACCATGTTGAACTAAAAGAAATTTCTTAAGAGTAGATTTTCCAGAAGTGGAAAACTCACACTGCTTGGTAAGTTCCATTCATGCTTTCACACAGAAAAGATAATCCATACATTTTTACCATAATTCAAGCTGCAATTTCCAAAATTAACTGCATTATGTAGCACAAGAAGTATATAAAACTATATGAAAAAAAATAAAAATTAAAAATAAAACTATATGGGCCATACCCATACTAAGAAAATTATTCATTGTTTAACTGAAATTCAAATTTAACTGAGCATCTTGTATTTCTATTTCTAAACCTGGCGATTCTTTTGGAGTGACCATGGGACAAGGACATGCTTCTCGTCCACAGCTGGTGAGTGTAAACTGGTACCACTCAGCTGGTGAGTGCACCATCAAAACTGCTAAAACACATGTATTCAACTCCACTGCTGGGGAACCCATCTAAAAAATATACTTCCTCATATTCAAAATCACGGACTGTTCATGGCAGCCGACTGGAAGTACCCAACATGACCATCAGTAAGGAATTAGGATAAATCATGGCACCTTCATGCAAGGGAACAATGAAGCTGTTAAAGAGAACTCTTTCTGTAGCACACGGGAATACTTCCACGTACAGAGTTGGGTATAAAACCAAATGACAATTGTGTTAGAGAAAAATTAAAAAACGCTTATTTTTATTTGTGTGTGTGTATATGCATAAGTAAACTCTAGAAGGTACACCACCTATAAATAAGTGACAACCTGTGTATATTTGTCAGTAAGAGAGGAATGGGGACAGGAAGTTGGGGGATTTGGGTAGGTGGGAGACATTTACGGAAAAGACACATTTTACATATCTTTTACTTAAACTATACAAATTTATTAAACTTTAAAAAACAGAAAAATAATTATTTTTTACTCATATGACTTTCAATTCATCTCCCACTCTCACTAGCTGCATCACTGAGATACAATGACCTACATGCATATCTCAATAAGTGTTTGATGATGATAGAGTTTTCAAAATGACCTAAAGGTAGAATAGGTCAAAGGGACACTGGTACAAAGACAAAATGAGACTAATGTTTAAAATATACAGAACCAAAGAGAAATACCCATGCATAGAACACACCTTTATCCATTCTGTTTTGTCTACAAATTTGGTAGCCAGCTTCTCCGGATACACTGAGACAGCTTCCAAGAGACAATACATGACTGGCAAACCTAAAAAAGAAAGAATTCAGAACCATGTTCATTTCAAGAGAAGTGATAAACATTCAAGGATCATCAAACTCCTTTAAAGGGTAAGGCTACTGCTCTTGGAGGCATTCCCCAGTTCTATATAACAAAAATTAACCTAAATCCAGTATGTGATATAAGACAGCAAATTTGCAGACTAGTTAACTATACAAAAATTCCCTATTCTTCACATGCACTTTCAAAGTAATAATGTATTACCTATTATTATCATTTACTTCTGAAAAGAGAAACAGTTCATCAAGGATGAATCAGACAGGTTTAAAAAAGAAACAAAGACTAATGTTCAATCACAGTATTGAAGGGAGAAAGTAATTTTGCTATAAATCCTTAGAGTTTAGAATTAATATTTTTTCTTAAGTGTTGTAATTAATATCTGTCCTCAGGATCACAACCTCCTACCTCCAACACCTGCTAACAGCTGCTGAAGCAGGCCGATGTAGATCTGAACAGGGTTAGTTTCTCCACTCTTGGAAGAAGACGAGGAGGATGTCACCTGGTTGCCTGACATTAAAGTCCGTATATAGCGTCCAATGGCCGGGGCATGATCTTGCATATCCGCCAAACTCTGGGAGGTAGGCACCACTCCTGCACTGTGAGCTAGGCACATTCGTAAGTAAAGAACTATCTAAAACAGAAGGAAGACGAATACCCAGTAAGTGTCTCAAAAATCAATGTGGAGAGTATTCCTACAAATGACAGCTTCCAGTTCTGATTCCTCTCCCTCCTTCATAAAGCTATTCAACAATCCTCACAGAAGCTGAAAAACACGACTCAATGTGGTAACTGAAATTACCTAATGGAGCAAAATTTACCCGACGACCTTTTATAAATCCAAACATGTTCTTTAGTGGCACTTAACGGAATTAAAATGCAAACTCAATTCTTAAAGTCTAAAAAATTACAATAAAATTTATATTTTAAAAGGGGTGTGTGGGGGGGTGTGTGCGCGTGCAAGGAAGGGAGGGAGAGGGAGCAAGATACTAAGCAGAAACCCGAAGTAAATAATCTATTCTTGTAACTTCAGTTGTATTTAATCTCTGCTAACACAAGAATTTGAAAAAATGGGTTCCAATCATCTGCAGAAGAGCAAATATGACACCATAAAAACCTCTGATACACACTGGCTATTATGGAGTCCTCTGAAAGCTCTTTCCTTGATAGCTAAGACAGAACAGGCAGCAATTTCATTGTCAGAAGTCGTGCTCTTGTCATTTAATTAATGCAAGTCAGTGACCTAAACAGAGTCTCCGTTAGTGAATGTGATAAATGAATCTCACTCTCCCACCTTCAAAACTAGATGACCCAAACAACCTCAGCATATTGTTGGCTTTAAAATTCTAATCTAATTTGCTGTAAAATCTCAACAGTAATCAATGTGGGGCATCCAGTTCTTTCACAAAGAGAATCTCACTGATATAAATATATTTATAGGCTCCACTATGAATTAAAATAATGATTACCAATACTATTTTTCTAATGAACAACTGTAAAGAACAATGACACCACAATATGAGTTTATCTAGAACACAAAAAATTCAGACATCTCTTTGAGTGTGACATTATCTTTTAGAATCTTTAGAGAAAACAAAATAGAAATATATGCCAATCCTACCTCTCCAAAGGCTGCTGGGTTAAATGGAAGGACAGTGGTCCCGGTCATGTACTTGGCTGGAGTTTTCATTCGATGGGAAGCCTAACAAAATAAGCCCAAAACAAACACAATTACTGAAGAAAGAGCATGTGTCCTTCCTCAATTTGAAAATAACTGTACTTCTACCTACACTGCTGTTTGCTACTGTTTTTTCTAGTCAAAATATTTTTCCATTAATCATGCTGATTATTCATGTCCCTCAAACCCTAAAGGACAGGCGTGTTGTTTTCTTCCTCATGTTTTTACTGACTTGTTTTGAAATAAACCTACTCCAGGTATCTACTGACACAGCTACCCCAGGCCACTGCATGCCAGTTCTTCTTCTTAACATTGGAGGCAGGGAGAAAAGAGCATCTTCTGACCACAGATATGACTGTGGGCTGGAGAAGAGAATCATGCTGCTTAGTACTAAACCTCCAACTCCTTAAGATGTCTATGAGCAAAAAGCTAGGAACACCAGTAAAGGCAGAGTATGGAGAAGTACCCACTCCCAGCATACGCAGAGAAACACGGAGGTAAAATGTGGAATAGGATCAGGGCTGGGGGGTCAGAACAGTCAATACTCTCTGATCTAACAGCAGAGTACACTGCAAAAACAGGAGACTTGCAAAAGCTGATGTGATGTTCTCTTACGATAACAGTGGAAAAAATCTGAACTGCTCCCTGCATCATTCTCAAACTTATGGTGCCTTAATGTCATTAAAAATAAAAAGGAGATGTATTTTTAAGCATATCATACCAAGCAAAAAAATTTCACATACAGCTAAAGTATTGAAGAACATAAGAATTGTAAGCAATTCAGATTTTGGCAAAACAGATCAATTATATTTGAGAATTATATTTTTCTCCTCATTTTGTTCCTTCCTCTTATTGTAAATATTGACATTGTCTTTACTATTTTTCGACACTTAGTGATGACATTTTAAATGTGTCACCTAAAATATGTATGTTTATTTCCATCATCCATTCTATAACTCAAATTCATTATCTGAAGTTAAATGCCATACCTTTTCTTGGATATAATATACCATTTCTGGGAAAGAAGGCATCTGCTTAGAAGCACTGTCTTTTCTGTTTTTACCAGGAAGACACCTTAATACTCGTTGTGCTTCTCCATGAACTTCTTCGCGTCTTTCAGACAAATAAGAATAAAAAATAAATTTCACCAACAGCAGAATGATCATTTGAAAACAAAGAACAGCCATTTTATTTGGCAGCTGGGGTTTCAAGAAAACATCTTTAATGTATTCTTAGTTATCTAAGCAGAGTCAAGAGGGCACAGAGGGGATAAATGGGAATGGAAAAATAAAATTAATTTCAACAAATATTAAAACAAAATGTACTAGAGACAGAGGTTTGTATGCCATGTTAAATTAAACCTTATCCTGGAAAATATGAGGGCTCCCTGAAAACTGTTAAGCGGGAGGGGACTTGATCACAGCAATGTTTCCCCACTCCACTCACTGGAGCAACCTGAAGGTAAAAACCTTCACAGTGTCTGCCATACTGCCGTGTCATCTACAGTTAATTAACTTAGTGTTGTTTAAACCAACTTTTTTCTTTTATAAATGTATTTAAAGAGGAAACACATTATCAGCATACTGTCCAAAATAAATATGTAACTATTAAAGTGGGGGGGGGGGGATTACTTCTTTCTGGCAATTTCATGAGATTTGAAGAGTCATGCGCCCACAAGTAAAAAAAAAACAAGACAGGCTATGACTACAGGTTTATATACTAACACGGGTCATATTTTTAACTCTGTAATAAATTGCTTTTAAATTCCGTAGACCAACATTGCAAACTACATAATTTTAGTAATTTTTGAATAAATTTAAAATGAACCCAAATTCAAATTAACACCTTTGAAAACTTACGGGTCTCCTGCAGCTAGTAACAGCAAATATCTGGAAGGTATATGATCTGAGGGAAACACCGTACTAGCAAATTTCACAGCCACTTGTCGAACTTGAACTTCAGGCTATGTGACACATAAACACACACAAAAACACACACAGTAATTACCAGCAACTCATCTTAACTGTAAACAATAAAAAGTTAAGCTGTTATTTTGATAAATATGTCTAAATAAATAAAATCTAAACAAAGCATTTGTGCCCTCGCTGGTTTGGATCAGTAGTTATAACGTCGGCCCTCTGTCCAAAGGGTCTTGGGTTCGATTCTCAGTCAAGGGCCTGGGTTGCAGATTCGATCCAGTCAGGATCATGTGGGAGGCAACCAACCAATGTGTCTCTCTCATATCAATGTTTCTCTCTCTCTCTCTCCCTCCCTCCCTCCCTTCCTTCCTCCCTTCCACTCTATCTAAAAATCAACGGAAAAATATCCTCAGGAAAGGATTAACAATAACAAAAAAGATAAAGCATTTTGTCCAAGATTTTTAATCATTGTTTAAAAGTCTTTGGACAGTGATATTACTTAAACAGCACTTTTATGATCTAAGAGGACCTTCCAAGTAAAGCAGGAAAACCCACAAAGACCATAGCCAGAGAATCTCTCTGTACATGCACACCCTCAGCCCAATCTTGGGACCAAGGTCACTGTGCCAGTTTCTGGCCACCACCTTTGCTTCCCCAACTCTCAAACAATGAGTCACATGAGTGAAATTCAGGTATTTTGCAGGGAATACAAAGTTTACTTGACAGCTCTACAAATTTGAAACAAAACGTCTCCTGCTTTTTCAGATCAGCTCTAAAGTTAAAACTGACTCCAAAGCAAGTTTCAACTATATAAATGTATTCAATTAATTTAAATAGACTAATAATCTATGAATACAAAATTCAACCAGAAAAGCAGAATCTGCTGATGCCGAAAGCTTTATTTTCATGAACTTTCCCCCTCAGACATTCTTCCAGTCACAACATAAGTGAGATGAGAGACATTAAGAAATATATACCTTCCTACTCATTCTTATTCTTGCTCTTTAGTATTCCATGAGCTACCTGTAAGAGCAATGATATTAAGGACTAGTCTACATAATTTAGCCTAGGGTCTGGTTACCTTAAATGTACACTGAGAAAATAAACTACCTTTGGCTTGGTAACACTGTTCCATGATTTGATCTGCACAGATATAAATAGCACCCACATGCATTATACAAGCATCACACTTCTTGTTGAGTTGTCCAGAAAAACTTTTAAGTATTCTGATCTTCCAAATAAGCCTACACTTCTGAGTCCATGATATATGACCATGAATCATGTACACCAAGAGCATGTGACACAATGGGACTTTTTATATAATGAGCTTTCTGAGTGTACATAATTATCCTGTCACATTTCAACAGAAACCAGATACCTTTCTGAAGCTTTAATAATTCCCTCAATATATTATAATAAATATGCCAGCTAAATCTCATAAAATTCAATTTATATTAATCTCACCAATACTTTTTTTTATAAGCTTTTTTTTTAATTAAATTTTTTTTTATCCTCACCTGAGGTCATTTTTTTACATTTATCTTCAGCAGAAGGGAAAGGGGGGGGGGGGAGAGAAAGAGAGAGAAACATCGACGTGAGAGAGACACATGGATTGGTTGCCACTCACACGACCCCAACCAGGGCTGGGGACAAACTGCAACCGAGGTACGTGCCTTTAGGAGGAACTGAACCCAGGACTCTCCGGTCCGCAGGCCGACGCTCTAACCACTGAGCAAAACCGGCCAGGGCTTAAGCTTTTTTTTTAAATCCTTACCTGAGGACATGCTTAGAGAAAGGGAGAGAAAAACATTGATGTGAGAGAGAAACATCAGTTAGTTGCCTTCTATTTGTGCCCCAACAGGGGATCGAACCGGCAACCTTTTGGTGCACAGGATGACACTCAACCACCTGAGCCATTCTGGTCAGGCTTACCAATACTTTTGACATCATTTCCTCCTCTAATCTCCCTCACTTTCTACTCCCAGAAATGCAGGACAAAGAACTGACTAAAGAAAATATATATTGATGTATATTGTATAGTATGTATACATATGTGTATATAACTACAGATACTCAGAACTCTCCTCTAAATGTCCATGAAAACCAGTTAAAGAGGACCAGAAGAAGAGCACATGTGACGATGACACTGGCTTACTTCCTACCTACTTACTTTGATATAGATAAACTTTGTCTTTCTTTCCCTCTAGTTTTCTCCCCCAATGTTACCTAGAGAGCTCCACAGCAATGGACTGTAGTACACAGCTACTGGTTAAGATAAAATACTGCCCACCTGGAGAACATGACATTAAGAACAGTTTTCCAACATGGGAAGCTTTAAACCTAAAGCTTCTGTGAATATCACTACTCTTTCTCCCCTAAAATCAGATTTCAATTAAAAAAAAATTAAAACTATGTAGATCATAAATCACAGTCCAAGTGAAAGCAAATATTCCAAGATAATTAAGGAGAACAGCAAGTCAAACGTTATTCTTAAAAATGTAAGATGCATATACTACCAGTCATTAGAGCTCACATAGTTGGACCTACCTTTATCAAGTACGAAGCCACAAGTGCCTCCATGAGAGTTCGCTGTGCTCCTTCCAAAGTGCTATAAGCTCCAACCATCATAGATAATGCTTCTTGAATAGCAAGTCGAGTCTCGGGCTCTTCCTATAAAGACAGTAAAAAGTGTTTCCCTCCCTGTTGGGTTTCCAGGTGAGCATCCAAACAGAAAGCGTATACTTGCCAGGTGCTTCCCTACCTTACACAGGGCTTCGAAGAGCTGCTGCACGAGAGCTATGTCCTTCGTGAATAAATGGGGCATTCGGCTGTAAGAGAAGACAAGACCATTGTTACTATCATACATTTCCATGAGATGGAAGAAAACAAAATTAAACACAAATTTTCCTGAACTTGCCATTTCATCTTTGAACACGTGTCAGCATCATTAGGTTACCTACCCAAAGTGCCAAATATTTTTCTAAGTAAATATTTAATCCTTTAGCTATCTAATCCAAGTGACCTTTTTTAATCCTCACCTGAGGATATTTTTCCATTTATCTTAAGACAGAGTAAGAGGGAGGGAGGGAAAGAGAGAGAGAGAGAGAGAGAGAGAGAGAGAGAGAGAAACATCGATGTGAGAGAGATACATCAATTGGTTGCCTCCTGCACGACACCAACCAGGGCCAGGGATCGAACTACAACCAAGGTACATGCCCTTGATCAGAATTGAAGCCAGGACTCTTTGGTTCACAGGCTAATGCTCTAACCACTGAGCCAAACCAGCCAGGGCTAATCCAAGTAACCCTTGATTAATATATATATTATCTAGATATTTTCTTCATTATATTCCATGCATTCAGTTAACATTTCTGATTTTAATGTAAAGAAAATAGATAATTAAGACCAAATTGCTATTTAAACTAAAAGCTAATATGGATCAGGGACTTTGTTACTTCCTGACAACAGACAAGGGACAAGGTTTGCTGACAACCCTGCACTGTATCAGCTGATCTCAGGTGGCTTTGTTCTGAGCCCAAAGCTCCTTTCCCTGCATGGAAAGCAGACCTAGTCTACACAGGCCAAAGCGGCACCTGCGCCAGGGCTAAAAAGCAGCACCTGGTGCCACCGAGGATGCTGCACCTCTCCCTCCCCGCTTTGAAATATAGTGAAGGAAGAAACCAGCAGGAACTGGAAGGAGGAAATTATACTAAGCAGAAGAAAAAAATCCATCTTTGGAAATGGCCACTCAGAATCATAATGTTAACTATCAGAAGAGAATCACTAGCAAAACCTTGATTATGGGGATTATAAACACTAGTAGTTAGAAGCAACAAGAACACTAACAGTCAATCAAATGTCTCTAGGATACAAGAAAATGTAACCCATTATGACACAATTCAGTTCAAAATCTCATTTCAAAACTACCATTTAATATGGTAACATATCTTCAAATGTAAATTAAAATTTCTCATATCATTTTCCTACTACAAGGCATTTCTAAAAACCTATGGCCATTAAATACATTTCCTTTCAGAATCACAACAAACTCATTCTCCATCCATTATCAAATGCCACACATTTTTCTTAGTTTACCAACAGGATATCTCTCACTGAGAAAGAGTTTACTCACCTGGAGAGTTTTCCAACAGCTGAATATGCCATTGACAGTAGCTTAGGGTCCTTGAAATTAAGAAGAAAAAAAAAGAACAAAAAACAGACAAAACAAAAAAACACAGTAAACGGCAAAACCTTTTGCTGCAATTATATGCATTATTTTACTCCTCGGCAAACCTAATTTCACTCTGCCTAATTGCATGCTATTAGCATCTGAACAAAACAAACAGAAAAAGTCAAAACCCAGAATTCATCACACTTCTAAAAGGAAAAACAAACAAAACCTTTTATCCCCAACTCACTCCCAAAAGAAAATTCTGTGGTCATACATGAAAAGGTTTCTTAGCTGGTTCTAAGTTCGGGATCTTTTCAACACTATGTAATCTGCAAACACCAACATTCATCTTCAACACACTAGGAAAACAGCTTATTAACTGATCAGAAAATTCACCACTCATCCAATCTTTCCTTTTTCACCCAAAATTGCAGTGAGTGGTTATTCTTAAATCTACACTTCTCATGTCTTCCACTATAAAAATTGAAGGGCTCATAGTCATCAAGTGAGTTAGTGAGGTTGCCTCCACAAACAAATTTTACATGGTTTTATGTAACCAACTGTCTGATTACTAAGAACAAAATAACCTTTCTGTGAGTTGAAGATCGTACATTTAACACGGGATTCCCTCTCCCACACCTTGATGACCACTCTTATGGCCTTATCACTGGGAAGACATGCAAGTGTTACCTGATTAGGGCCCTGTGGTTTCTCTGGCCTCTCTAACCTAGTTTTAAATATACAAATTTTCCCGAAAAGCCCCAAAGCATTTTTATTTCTACCAACCATCCAAAGCATCTGACTAGGTATGCTATAAAAATAATCTGGTTCCTAGGCCTTAAGAACCACGCAAACACTATTCAACAGAAGAAGATAGGAGAGCCAGGCATAACACTGCCCCAAAGCACAACTGCACAACAAATAGTTTTTCACTAATAATAACACCTACTAATGTGCCTTCATTGTGCTGAATAATTTACATGTATATCTCACCAAATGTCAACAATAACCCAATTAAATGGTATTATTTTCATTTTTCTAATGAAGAACAAATGTCCAAAGAATTAAGTAACTCATCAAAAAACAAAACTAGGATTCTAATTCAATTCTAACACCAAGTGGCAAAATTGTAATCACTATACTATTGCAAACATGCATTCATGTTTAGCTAAGACTTAGGAAAATAATGCTAACTACAGTTCTTGAATCTTTACTTTTTTAAGCAAATTTCCCTGAAACATACAGGAGATGGTAAGAGTGATACAGCATGGAAAAACAACAGGTCGAAATGCTACAATCCAAGAATCTCCATCCAACTTAAGGAATCAAAAATTTACTGAATGCATGTTTTGACACAATTCTGAATCAGTAAAATCTCAGACCCTAAGAATTGACAGTTTCCCAAAACAAGCAAATTCAAATAGATCCATATAGAAATAAATCATAAAATAAAATTAAATTATCTTCATTCCATTTTTATAGTGCCTAAAAATAGAATGTACGTTTTTTTTAAATGTTATTTAAAGTGTTATGACCCCTCAAGATTCACATTGGTTTTTAACACTTATTTCCAAAAGAAAAAGAAGCAAAAGCTGCAAGTAATTTCTGCAGTTAGCACCACTTCAAGTTAAAAATGTTAAGAAATGATGGAATAATATCAAATTGTAACTAACTAAACCCACAAGTAGACCACAAAAGTTTATAACAAAAAATATTTTAAAATATAAAATGTTAACAAAATTTGAGACAAGTCACTTACTTCTTTATATTCATTGATTAGCTTGGTGAGGCCATTCAAAAGCATTGGACCTAATGGCTTAATCTTGATTTCTGGACAACTTAAAAAAAATAGCACACATACACAAAGCAAGATAAGAATCTCATAATTACATATCTTTTCAGATAATTTCTTAAAATAAGCAGAGATAACTGAACTGATCTATTAAAATCTGATATTTTTAAATTATTTTTTTTCTAGATAAGATATACTTTAATCATTTGATCACTCCAACAGCTTGAAAACTTTATAGTTGAATAGATGGAAAAACTTACGTTATACAGATGTGATGCACAAACTGCAGGGATAATGTTCTTAATTTTGAATTTGTATTTGTACCAAAAAGTCCATCATACACCACCTATGAAAAAGAAACTAGTGGTCAAGAACACCAATTAATAAGAATAGTAATTGACTATTCTCAAATACTAAGACTCAAAAGCACATCATTTGCACTATACCTTGTTCTTCAAAATTAATGCAGTTCTTTTTAATACATACACATTTTAGCCGATAAATGTAGGAAGCCAATCAGCTCCAATTAATAGTCTGTGGAGCGCCCAGCTGGTGTGGCTCAGTGGACTGAGCATTGACCCATGGACTGAGAGGTCCTGGTTCAATTCCCAGTCAGGGCACATGCCTGGGTTGCAAGTTCGATCCCTAGTTGGGGGTGTGCAGGAGGCAGCCGATCAGTGTTTCTCTCTCACATCGAAGTTTCTATCTCTCTCTCTTCCTTCCTCTCTCTCTAAAAAAAAATCAATAAAAACTTATTAAAAAAAAAAAAGTCTGTGAAATGACAAACACAATGGCTGAACTAACAAGTCTGCAAAACTAGGGAGTCTACCACTCGGAAGTCATACAGAGTTCTCACTGCAGTGGGCTACCACCCTGTCACTCCAAGCTGCACAGAGGACACTAGCAGATAAATATTTTAGGGGGAATTAGGTTTCTTCATTACATATCGTCATTCAGAACAAGTTATACAAAAAGGTTCATGGAAAATATCGAAATTAAAGCATTCTGAAGTATACAGTCAGGGTGCAGGCGCTCCATGTATTATGTAGTCGTGTCTAGATGGCAAAAATATCACGTAGTGGATAAGGCTTGTGGAGCATCCAGAGGGTTCAGATATTAAACATCAACATCAAAGAAATCTAAACTCCTGAAATTCCTACTTATTACAGGAAAGATACAGTCTTACACCTAAAAAAAAAATCAACCCTCCATACTATTTCCTAAAACTAACAGTATTCTGATCTTCCTTAACAATAACATGTAATGGACATAGTACTAAGCATCTGCTGTATAATCAACACTACGCAAGGTACTGTGAGATATAAAAAAAGACAAGCATTGATGTCGAAGCATTCAACCTTGTTAAGGAGTCAAGTACATACACTTTAAACAACAGAACAACATATAATTAAGCGCTACATTTTTTGGAAGACTTTTTCTTTCCTGTTCAAAATCCAGGTGAGGTAACATGTCTAGTTAAAGCTACTGCTGTCTGGTAAGAAGCAGCTACCTTTAAAGGATTCTGTGATTGACAGGTGAAAAAGAAAGAGGGCAATTTATGCAGGAGAACTATAATGCCATCACTAGAAATGGGAATATAAAAAAGGAAGAATGTTTATGGAGGATGTTTATGAATATTTTATCATAAAATTCTAGCAGCTGATTATATAATATAGTGTTAGCACAACCAAATTTTCTCAATCAAAGTTATCAAGACACTGTCTGGGAAACAGTGCTTGGAAAGTGAAATGGAAGAAGCTCCGATAATTTTATGTTTCTCTGGAGACATTCAACAGAGTACTTGAAATTAGTCAAATATTAGAGTACCAGATACTGGGAACAAAAGTTTTATCATCTAAAAGGAAGAAGTCGCCACTTAAACAAGCCTTCTGAAGGAGAGATGCTGAGACAGAAGTCTATGTCTACCCTTCAGTGAACACAAAGAAGTGTTCTTACTTTGGGAATGAAAGAGAAGAGGGGCAGGAAACGGGAACACTTCAGATAGAAGGTTGCACATGCGAGCAAATCCTGAAAAATGAGTAGATGTTTAGGAAGCTAAAGGGGGGAGGGGAGTTGTGTTAGGCACATCATGAGTGGAGACAAACAGCCATTAAAAAAGCATGTGTAAAGAGCAACAATCTTTGGTTGAAGCATAAGGATGGGACAAGGGGGTGGTGAGATATGAGACCAGAAGGGAAATAACTGCTAACTTTTCACCATTTACCAAAGAACTTCGTAACTGAGTACTAGCCACTGTGCTCTAAGCTTTCTATTGTGCCTTTCAGTCTTTAAACTATTGCTATGAGGTAGTTGCTATTACTATAACCATTACAGATTTTTAAAGCTTTAAAGAAAAGCAGAAAAAATCCTAAGGCTTATTTAAAATCAAAGCAGCCCTGGCCGGTGTGGCTCAGTTAGTGGGCGTCATCCCAGGCACTGAAAGGTCGTTGGTGTTCGATTCCAGGTCAGTGCAAATGCATGGGTTGCACACTTGATCCCCAGTAGGGGGTGTAGAGGAGGCAGGTGATTGATGTTTCTCTCTCTCCCCTCTCCCTTCCTCTCTCTCTAAAAATCAATTTAAAAAATCTTTAAAAAGTAAAATAAAATAAAAAGCAAATACTCATGGCAAATTATAGCTGATCCTTAAACAACAAGGGGAATGGGGCACTGGCCACCACCCCACTCTGGACAGTTAAAAATCCATGCTAACTTCTGATTCCTCAAAAACTTAATAACCTACTGTTGACTAGAAGCCTTACAGATAACATGAAGAGTCAATTAACATATTCTTTGTGTTGTATGTATTATATACTGTCTTCTTACAATGAAGTAAGCTGGAAAGAAGAAACTCCTAAGGGAGAGAAAATGCATTTACAGTTTTTATTGAAAAAAAAAATCTATGTATAAGTGAACCCCGTGCAGTTTAAACCTGTTTTGTTCAAGGGTCAACTGCATACTCAAGTCTGTCTACCTCCAGAGCTGAGCTGATCATCACTTGATAAAGGCTAGGGCTTTTGTGGAGGGGCTTGTATCCCACACCACAAGAGTACGAGGATTTCTAACTGCTTAAATAATTCGGTAGGTAACACAGAAAACAGAATGGATGAGGGCAAGACTAGAGGCAGAGAAACAAGGCAGAAGATTCCTGCAGTAACCGAAACAAGAAGTGACGGTCTCAATTAATAGCAGCATTCGATGTAGAGAGATGAAGACATTCAGAAGCCAGAATCAAGAGGATTTGGCTACTACCTTCAATGTGGGGTTTCGGTTAAGGATGACTCATTTTTCCACTTAAGTAACCAAGTTTCTGGTGAAACCATTTTTGGAGAAAAGACTCAGAAAAACACTAGTTTGAAAGAGATTATTACCATGCATTTAGAGTGAAGGATAACTTTATATAATATATCCGCTAAAAAAAATTTTAATCATTTCTGCATATAAACTTGAGAGAAAAAAATATGAAATCTCATTAATCTTGTTATGTACATCAACCGACCTCCTGAATATTCATTAATGCAATTCTTTCTCTAAGTCAATAGACACAAAAGTTGTAAAAATGCCATTTTTCTCTGGAAAGAACGAATTACCTGAATGTTAGCTGGGAACGTTTCCGCAGCTTGTCTGGAACGAAGAAGATGGGGGACAATCTTTAACTTGACTCTTGTACTGACAGGGTCCCTTTTCAGCTCTGGCTTCAGAACTGCTCCCTGTCAAAAATATTTTGGATTATAACTCAGCATTTCAAAATTATTGCAAAGTGAAAAAGTCATGAGAGCATCTAAATCAGTGGTCTCTCAAACTTGTTTCAAAATCCCTTTACACTTAAAAATTACTGACGACTCCAAAGAGCTTTTGTTTACATTGGAATACTTACCAATATTTACTAAATTAAAGTTAAAACTGAGAAATATTTAAATACTTATTCACTTAAAAATAATATTTAAAAAACCTATTACAGCCCTGGCCGGTTTGGCTCAGCGGTTAGAGCGTCGGCCTGCGGTCCAGAGACCCGGGTTCGGTTTCCGCTAAGGGCACGTACCTCGGTTGCAGTTTGTCCCCGGCCCTGGTCGGTTGTGCAGGTGGCAGCCACTCGATGTGTCCCTTTCACGTCGATGTTTCTCTCTCTCTCTCTGTTCCTCTCTCTCCCTCCCACTCTACCTGAATAAAAAATGGAAAAATGTCCTCGGGTGAGGATAAAAAAAAAAAAAAAAAAACCTATTACATATTTTCATTAATAATATTTTGAAAAAATATATATTTTCCAAAACAAAAACTGTACTGAGAGAGTGGCATTATTTAACATTTTCTGTAAATCTCTTCACCGTCCACCTTAACAGAAGAGGACTGAATTCTTTTATCTTCTGCATTCAATCTGTTGTGATATGTTGTTTTGGTTAAAATATATTTTTAGCCCTGGCCATTTTGCTCAGTGGTTAGAGCATCGGCCCTGAGACTGAAGGGTCTCGGGTTCAATTGTGGATTGCAGGTTCAATCCCCGGCCCCAGTCGGGGTACTGTGGGAGGTAAACAATAGATGTGTGTCTCTGGCATCTACGTTCCTCTGTCTCTCTCCCTCTCTTCCTTCCACTCTCTCTAAAAGATCAATGGAATGTATCCTTGGGTGAGGATTAACAAAAAAATAGTAATATAAAAAAAATTTTTTTTTAAAAACCAGCTTCACACAGATATGTGGATAGAAAAGTGGGGATAATTTTAGCCTTTTCAGGTAATTGTGGACACTCCTTGGTACTATACCAAAACCTGATGAACAATCATTTGTTAAAGCAGAACTGCCATTTGGACTTGAAATCCTTGAACTTTTACATACTCTGTTATACTAAATCCCTCTGGTCTATCTAAGCACCCGTGTATGCTTCTGTAATACTACCAGTCATTTGGAAAATACTGGCTCACTGAGTTTAAGCATATGTTGCATTATGAAACTTCCAAAAAGGAAAAAACCACCACCAATCTTAATCAGAAAAGTCAGGAAGTATTGACAAGCTATCAAGCTCATTCTAATGCATCATATTTTCCAAAATTCCAGTTTTCGCTTGAAAGCTCAACTTTTATCAATGCAAATAAATGATGTTTTTCTTGAAGCCTTTTTTTTTTTCATTTTAGAGAACTCTCTGCCAAGCATGTGTCTCAATACCCAGTTTTCCCATCTACTCTTCAAAAAAATATTTACTGCTTCATCAAGGATATTCTTAAGTAAAGCTGAGTTTTACTCTTTATTTCTTTTTTTACCATGCATGTTGACAGTGAAGAATAGAATGACTGCTATATTATTTAGTGACACAGCTCTGATTCATGCTAGGACCCTCGCAGTTGCACCTACCACTGCTTTTGCACCATCAGTTCAAATAGCAACACAATTTTTTTTTAAAAGCAGTAACTGCTTGCCTTCATGGACCCCTAAAAGTCTATGATCCAATAAGGGTCTAAGGACTATACTCTGAGAACCACGGATCTAACCCACCTCCTTCATTTTTTACACAAAGAACATGAGGCTCAGAGAGGCTCTGTGAATAGCCAAATCTCTCCTCCACAGTACATTTATTCTAAGCAGCCATGGCGGCAGTAGGGGGGGCACACATTCCAATTCCCAGTGCCATGTTCTTTCTGCTACATCTCATTCAACTTAATCTAACTAGAGCTAATATGATTTTTTAAACAACTCTTTATGATTTAAAAACAAGCAAACAAATAATCCTTATATGTCTGGGTTTTTACTTGAAACACTTTCAAACACAGTGAACTAAACATAACATGTTATTAAGCAAACATTTTACTTCAAGGCTTCAGAAGAACCTACAACTACTGCTCTATCTAGACCAGGGGTCAACAAAGTGCAGCCCATGGGCCAAATCTGGACCACCATCTGTCTTAATAAGACCTGTGAGTTAAGAATAATTTTTACATTTTCAAATGATGTTTTAAAAATCAAAATAATAGCCCAACCAGTGTGGCTCAGTGGATGAGCATTGACCCATGTACCAAGAGGTCGCCAGTTTGATTCCCAGTCATGCCCAGGTTGTGGGCCCAATCCCCAGTGGGGGGCATGCAGGAGGCAGCCAGTCAATGTTCTCTCTCGTCGATGTTTCTCTCGCTCTCTCCTCTCCCTCTCTCTCTAAAATCAATAAAGAAAAAAAAAATCAAAATAATAACCTGGCCAGTGTGGCTCAGTGGTTGAGCATTGACCCATGCACCAAGAGGTGGCTGGTTAGATTCCCAGTCACATGCCTGGGTTATGAGCTCAATCCCCAGTAGGGGGCATGCAGGAGGCAGCTGATCAATGTTCTGCTCTCACACTGATCTCTCTCTCTCTCTCTCTCTCCCTTCCTCTCTCTAAAATTTGATAAAAATATTTTTTAAAATAAAATACATGAAATCCAAATTTCAGTGTCCCTGAAGTTTCACTGGTACACAGCCATGCTCCCTAAATTATGTGTGTCCTATGACTGCTTTCATGTTATGTCAGAGTTAAGCAGTGGCAGCCTCACAACACATGGCCAGCAAAATCTAACATATTTACAGAAAAAAGTATGTTGATCCCTAATCCAGACAATCATCATTATTTAAGCACCTGAATTGAAAACACCAGATCAAGTAAACGAAGTTACCAGATTTTAATCTACCTAGACTAGCATGGTTTAAAACTATTATTTCCTACAGCAGAGGTTCAGCTTAAATCAAAATAAATAAGAAAAAAATGTTCAAATGTATAGAGCTCATGTAACAAAGTACTTATTATGATGATAAACAAAAACAACCTACCTCTTTTGTCTTTAGTGGTATATCTCCAAGGTATACCTTGTACATCTTATTAATGATGGCAGGATTATTCCAGTCAATCAAGCTACAGAAAGTTTCAACACAACTTGTTAAAATTATTTTTTTCCTCCCACTTGAATGATTTCAAAAAAATCATAGCTCCAATATTTGTTAGCAAAAAAAAAAAAAAAAAAAGGTTAAAAACACTCAAATGAAATGGGCAACTGACATTACAAAAGAGAAGGAAAGGAAAGGGATTAACTTCATCTAAGTTAGTTTTTAAAGAGAAAAAAAAAAAGGTCATTTATCCCACCTTGATTCAGTAGATCACTGTATCCAATGCCCAATTTGGTACCACAGAAACATACTGAACTAATTCACTCTCAGGGCCAATAGCATGGAGCAGTTCCAACAGAGCACAGCTACACTACACTTAAAGAGCCCTGGAGCATGAATCTTATGTTTAACCACCTGGAAATTCACTCACTTGGAAATTCAAGTGTAATAAAGAGGGTGATGAAAAAAATTTTACACAACCCTAGGAAGCCCACAGCCATTGCATTTCTCAAATATTGTGTCACTGTAATTCCCAGCATCACTCTTCCTTATCTACCAGCACACACTTGCAGTTTTAGCATCTAATTCTACAGAGCAGTCATGCTGCCACTAGTCACTAAGACAGATTCCTACTTGGGCCCCAGAATAAGGTGAATTAGGATATCACTGGTTGGCAACTGGCACCCACCCTCTGCAGCAGTCCCCACCTGTCATTTTGTAAACCTAGCCAATAATGCATTCCTGCATATCACCTGATTAACGAGGTTTGACCACACTATCTTCTCTCTGTCTTTTGACATTGGTTCTGTTTTAAAGATATGCTTTATTTGTGCAAACACAAATAACCCCGCTGCTTTGCATGTCTTTCTAATCCATCTCTTCTTACACAGCTTGTCTCTTATTTGGATATCCACAAGTCCACTATCCTCAAAGTCATTCTACAATTACAGCTTAGTTATTATTCACCTACTTCGTTCCTCAACTGATTGCTACTAACTAGTCCTGAAGCTCCACCACTGTTTCCCTTCCAAAAAAACTGCAGGTTTAGAGATTTTTGACAAAACACTTCAGTAAAACAAAGTAAAATCTTAACAATGGTTAACCATTAGGGATAATTTTCACTGTTTCTTCTACTTTTCCTCTTGCCATCTTTCTAGCTTTAGTTTATTTATTACATGTTTGTTGTGAAAATTCAGAAACATAGAAAATAAAATCCCTTATAATCTGCACCATATCCCTCTCTATTCCTTTTGGTAACCACTAACTTTGCTATATATCTTTTTCTAGACTGCTTTCCTATGCATGTAAATAGGTGGGTGGACATGGCACACAGATAGATTTTTAAAAACAGATCAATATATGCAACACTTGAAGAGATACTCTAGGCCCGGCCGAAGTGGCTCAGTCGGTTGAGCGCCAACCTGTGCACCAAAAGACTGCCAGGTTTGATTCCAGTCAGGGCACATACCTGGGTTGCAGGCTTGATCCCGGGTTGAGGCCTATACGGAAGGCAACTGATTGATGTTTCTCTCACAGGGATGTCTCTCTCTCTTTCCCTCTAAGGGTGCCCTTGGGTGAGAATTTTTTTTAAAAGAGAGATTCTTTGAAATGTTTCTTTAACAAAATGGAATATTTACATATTGTTCTCAACTTACATTTTACCTCTTAACACTGTTGTATTATTTTATGGAAAAATGCATACACTTAATAGACAACACTAGAACTAATACTTAAGCACCACATTTGAATTTCCAACAATTCAGTCCACCATATGGTGTAAGAATGGAGCCAGCTGAAGCACAATGAGAAGTTTTAAAGAAAGTATTCTGATACTTCAAAACCAAATAAATTTCTCAAAAGAGATACCAGGAAGATGCAGTTAAAAGGAACGTGAAGGAATCTTAGACTTGGGGGGAATATTAAGTACATTTTAGTCCAACTTTCTTACTTTCAGAGTCTAAGGCCTGGCAAGGTCAAGTGAGTCTTCCAAGTCAGAGAATCAGCATGAGGCATGTCCAGAATTAACTTCATAACAAACACACTCCTCCTGTATGCTACTTCACGTGCCCCTCGGTGTAAGCCATGCCCAACCACCACACACACACACATAGTTTATATTTCAACAAGCAAACTATAGACACAGTGAAGTTAATTTCCTTATTCTGTTACACCTACTTGTATTGGTTTCTTAGGAAAGAGAAAACTACAATGCATGGAACCATTATAGAGCTTTACTACCTTATCCACATTTAACTGTCTTTTAGCACGTTATTATATTGAACATTAAAATAAATTTAGAGAAAAACTATTCCATAATTTGATATTTTTCAGTCATCTTCAATTTTCATGTTATTCTTCAATCATTTTTTAAATATGTTTTTATTGATTTTATTTATTTATTTTTTTCTGGAGAGAGAAACATCAATGTGAGAGTGAAACATCAATCAACTGCCTCCCCTACTGGGGATTCAAGCCTGCAATCCAGGCATGTGCTCTGACCGGGCATTGAACCAGGAACTCTCAATCCATGGGGCGACACTCACTTCACTGAGCCACACCAGCGGGGCTTCAATTATTTTTTAAATCATTACACACAACATTTTGTATACTGCTTTATTAATTTGCCATTACTTGGAGGCAATTTACATGTTGCTTTATTATTTTTATAATTATTTTGAAAGATATATAAAATTCATATAGATACACACACCTAATTTACTTAACTATTTCCCTACTTTGGAAATTTGATACTTTTCCTTTTTTTCCCCCCAAATACAGGAAATAACATAATGAGCAAATCTATAACATTTTCCTAAATATAATCATTTTCTTCTTTTAAATGATGCTCTTAAGATAAATTCCCAGATTTAAATAAAAGATTATAAATATTTTTATGATTCATTACTTACTGCAAACTGCTTTCCAAAATTATGTCAATTTATAATGCAGATCAACAAAGTATAAGACTAGTACTTTCAACAGAAACTTAAATGGAGTTATCAACTGTTACACAATTTTACTTACCAATGGGTACAAACTGGTATACCATTGTTTTATTTTGCATCAATTTGATTTCTTAGAATATTTTCTATGAACCTTTTTACTATTTTAATTTCCTCCTGTGTGAATTAACACCTATTCAGCACCTCTTTTCATGGGATCTGAGTTTCACTGTATTAACCATAATACCCACATATCCTTTATGAAAAGCAATGTCAAATGGTGTGAGATAGAGGAAAATAAAAAATGAATAACTGTGGATTTTGATATTTTTCTTAATATCAGTTCTTCAAATTCATTTACCTAGTCAAAAATCTCACTTCCTATGGTTATATTCCTAACCTGTTCCAGTTCTAAACTGCTTCTCCAAACAGTTTTTCTTCTTTGTCTTATACAGAATTTTGCTCTTCAGCAAACTGTCTCTATTACAAATTAGGTATATTTCATAATCTCATAAACTAAATGTTTCATTACATAAAATCCTAAAAGAACAAATATGTGCTGAATAAGCTTTTAGAAATCTAGCCTCTTTCCAATTTTGAGTTTAAAAGAGATATAGTTTACCTTTGCTTGCTTTTCAATTCTAGGTCTGCTGCTGTTGCCACACTGTGGCGTGTGTCACTAGAAGCAATCACCAGGTGGAGAACAGCTTCGAGTTCAGGCACCTGTTCAGCTTCTATGAATTTCACTATACCCAATTTGCACTGTGGACAAATGAAGGGAAGGAGGAACAGTGATCAGAGAAACAAAGAACACCAACCAAAAATACTATTTAACATATTAGTATGGCCATAAACCAAGGATTAATAGTAACAATAGTAGCAGCTCCTATTTAGGCTTACAATGTGCCAGGGACTATACTAAACCATATATAGTCATGATTTCATTTAATCCTCACAATCTACAGAGTATAATTATACCCCTTTTTCAGATGAGGAAAGCAAGGCAAGACTTAAGAGATTAAGACACATAGTTAGCAGGTGATGAAGGCAGGATTCAAACCCAAGTCTCTTAGACTGCAAGACAATTGATACACAGCCTTCCTACTAGGATACACAGACTCTCTAGAATGACAAAACACTGAAGACAATTGTGATACACAACCTTCCTACTTAGGATACACAGCCTCTCTAGAATGACGAAACCTTGAACTGAAGTCCAAATCTGGAGCCTCCAGGTAAAAATGGTGGTATATTAGAAACATGCTTCATGATTATGACAGTTCAAAAGGAACTAAACTCACATTCCTTGGAGTTCCACTGTATTGTTAAAATACTAATTCTTGTCCTCAATATACTTATATACTGAAAACAGTCTGATTTGAAATATACTCTAGTCAATGCAAGTGAATTTCTAATCAACCAGTATTCAATGTAAATAACTGGCTAAAATGAAACCTAAACTAAAGAGAGATTCTGCTTAGAACTTCATGCAATGTAAAGTAGCTGTGAGTTGCACTAAAAATAACTCTATTTAAAATAAATATTCCTCACCCTGGCCAGTTCGGCTCAGCAGTTAGAGGGTCGGCCTGCGATCCAGAGAGACCCGAGTTCGGTTCCCACTAAGGGCATGTACCTCAGTTGCAGTTTGTCCCGGCCCTGGTTGGGTCGTGCGGGTGGCAACCACTCGATGTGTCCCTTTCACATCGATGTTTCTCTCTCTCTCCCCCCCACTCTATCTGAACAAAATATAAAAAAATGTCCTCGGGTGAGGATAAAAAAAATAAATAAATAAAATAAAATAAATATTCCTGGAAAGTAAAACTTTACCTTAACAAATCAATTACATAATAATTCTTACGCATATGAAATAGAATTGATAGAATTTAAAATTATTAGATGACAAAGGGTGCAATTAAAAAAATGTATACAGCCCAGCTGGTATGGCTCAGTGGATTGAGCATTGTCCCATGGACTGAGAGGTCCATCCCCAGTAGGGGGCATGCAGGAGGCAGTCAATCAATGTCTCTCTCTCACATCGATGCTTCTATCTCTCTCTCCCTTCCTCTCTCTCTAAAAAAATCAATGAAAACATTTTTTTAAAAAAGGTATACAGCCCTGGCTGGTTTGGCTCAGTGTGTGGAGCATTGGCCCATGGTCAAGGGCATGTACTTGGGTTGTAGATTTGATCCCCAGCCCTGGTCAGGGTCGTGCAAGAAGCAACCAACCAATTGATGCGACTCTCTCACATCAATGTTTCTCTCTTTCTCTCTCTCCCTCCCTCCCTTTCACTGTCTCTAAAAAGCAATGAAAATAATATCCTCAGGTGAAGATTAACTAAAAAAAAAAAGTATACAAACATCATAAAAATGCCTGCTTTCCCTCCTCCTGTTCAACACAACTTACTTGTAACAAGAGCTACAATAAAGAAGACTCAAACTTTTATTTAAGCCATTAAAAAGGACAATTATATTCAATGAGGAGAAAAGGAGAAATAGTTGTAACAAAAATAAATTAATTAAGTAAAATAAAAGAGTTTGAATTAAGGTGACCAATTTTGAAAAAAAAGAACAGCCCAGCCGGTATGGCTCAGTGGTTGAGCTTTGACCTATGCACCAGGAGGTCGCTGGTTCAATTCCCAGTCAGGGCAGATGCCCAGGTTATGGGCCAAATCCCCAGTGGGGGGCATGCAGGAGGCGGCCGACCGATGTTCTCTCTCATCGATGTTTCTATCTCTCTCTCCCTCTTTCCTTCATCTCTCTCTAAAAATCAATAAAGAAAAAAAAATTTTTTTAAAGGACAATTATAAAAGGCAAATACACAAAAATATGTTCAAAGAAAACTGAAAACAATACTAATGTCTATCGATAGGAGACTATGTAGTTTACATATAATTAAATTGTATACAGACATTAAAAGGAGTGACATTTTTTAAAAACTTGATATATAGTTAAAGAAAAAAGTGAACTACAAGTAATGTATTACATGATATGTAAAAATGTATTGTGTAAAACTGTATTTGTTTATACACACATACAGAGCAGGCTATAGGTGAATGAGAAAGTAGGGTGGCAGGAATCCAGGTAATTTTTAATTTCTCTTTATAATGTTCTGGAATAATTGAATATTTACATTATCATTAACTTTATCAAAATAAAAACTGTTTATCTTGAAGGAAAAATGTAAAACAAGACATTTAAATATTGAAAACAGCTTTCATACTTGAAGCTAAACTGTTCCTTTCAGCACTAGATTATGAAAATGACAAAAGGCATAGAGACCCTTAGAAATGACAAATAACGACCAACATCAGACTACAATTTAATGTTAACAACTGTTCTCCAGCACTTACAGCTTTGGCCCTCAGACAGACCTAGATTCAAAGCCTAGAACTAGAAGTGAGACCACGGTGAATCTCACAACCTTTCACTAAATGGAAGTAACAATTTCTATACCTCAATGGGTTGCTGTGAGGATTAAATGAGATGATGAATTCGAAGTACTCATCAGTATAGTACCCGTCACATAGCTCACACTCAATAAAGAGTAGCTTCTGTTACTATTTACCTTTCTTTCTTACATCATGGCTTAAAGAGAACAAAAAGAAAAAATCTATAAAACAGGAAGAAGTAAATCTAATTGAATATAGCCCTCACTGAACAAATCATTCCATACATTTGTGAGTGGCAAGAATGTCCCGCTTGTCTTTTCCCCTCTCTTTGGAACACTGTTTTGACCAGTGGTCACTCACATCCCAAAAAAAGAAAAGGATCAAATCACTTAGACTGTCATGGAGAGATAAAGGAAGGATTGGAAGACGAACCCAGGTTGCTTGAATTCCAAAATAATTACATACTGATCTCATCTGTTCTTCCCTGAGGTGCCTGATGACACAGACACAGTGAGGCACCTTCTCTGTAGAGCACCAGTCTTTTTAAAAAGCTGCTCAGAGAACATCTGTGTCCTGTTTAAATCCAGAATAAAATTCTTAATGCCATTTTTTAAATTCCCAGGAAGAAATATAAAAGGGAGTCATGCTTTCCCCCATATTGTCACTTGTGAGTTACAGGTTCCTCACTTTACACAAAATATACAGCCCTAACAATACTGAATAATGTGAGATAAATTGTATTCTAACTGCACCAAAGCAGCTAAATAATTATTAAACCCATAATTAAGAACTAAAATAAGTTAAGTATACTCTACTTGTAAGTGGGCTGTATTCCACACGCGAACTATGTGAGCAACATTAGAAACACTGAAGCACATTCCCACTCCTCCCTTTCCCGGGGGCTGTAACCACTGACATGACAACGAGAACACATTACATCAACGCTCCTTTCCAATATGTTTCATTAGAGAGCCTGATTACACTAGAATTACGGTACACATGCTTTCATGGACTTCACAGGGGCACACGTATAGGGTTAAGTTGGGTTATGAATAAGCAGTGGGTGATACCTGTTCCAACTGTTCGGGTGTCCACGGGTTATCACCAATAACTCGTTTAGCTGCATAAAAACTCATTCCTGGGGGAGGCTGTGGTATTCCAGAACTTCCCCCACTATTTGAAGAAGAACCCTGTGCTGAAGATGAATTTTGGCGACTCTGGGATTCATTTAACACATATCTGGAAAGGAAATAGAAATTAAACCCCTCTCTATTAAAACACATATATAAACATGCATATATAACACATTCAATTATATACTTTCCTCACACAGAATTTTTCTAGAAGAATAAACATTTAAAAGTAAAATTTCGTCATAAAGAAAAAATTTAAAGGTATTTAAAAACATGCTACATCTTCAGCAAGTTAACCATAAAAGTACATCTGTGCAACTTTGTTACAAATGAACTATAATAGTCACCAACATTAAGTATAAATGTTTTGTTCACTTTGAATCCATAAACTGTTGTTCTAAGAGCCACTACAGACCCGCAGCATTTTGAGTTTTTAGTTGATAGATACAGAGAAATGTTTGTTGACTGGGGCGGGGGGAGGGGGGTGTAAAAATACTATTGTTCTAGCCCTGGCCAGCTTGGTTCAGCGGTTAGAGCGTCGGCCTGCAGACCGAGAGTCCCGGGTTCGGTTCCCGCTAAGGGCACAACCTCGGTTGCAGTTTATCCCTCGCCCTGGTTGGGATCATGTGGGCTGGCAACCACTGGATGTGTCTCTCTTACGTCGATGTTTCTCTCTCTCTCTTCCTCCCTCTCTCCCTCCCGCTCTATCTGAAGATAAATGCAAAAATGTCCTCAGGTGAGGATGGAAAAAAAAAAATAATACTATTGTTCTATACTCAAAACAGAGAATATTTTCACAGTCATTTCTATTTCTGTTAAGTTGCAATTCACCTTCAATTCTCCATGAACTCCTTATATCCCTGCATTACAAAACTTAATACAACCACTTACACACAAGCACATGTTCCCAAAATGAAAAAAATCGAAAAGTTCAAAGAGAAAAAAAGAATTAGCTTTTCCCATTGTATGTTCAAAACCCTTCACAACTATTATTTAATTTCTCATCCTATTTCATGTTTAGCTTAAATAGATTAAAAATAAGATTTCTGATAAATTCATTTTGATCCAGTCAAATTGGTATGCCTCATGTACAAAATGAAAATTTCTACATAAATATTAAGTCAGCCCGGCCATAGTGACTCAGTGGTTGAGCATCAACCCATGCACCAAGAGATCGCAGGTTCAATTCCCAGTCAGGGCACATGCCCAGATTGTGGGCCCGATCCCCAGTGGCGGGCATGCAGGAAGCGGCCAATGTTCTCTCTCATCAATGTTTCTATCTCTCTCTCCCTCTCCCTTCCTCTCTCTCTAAAAAGCAATAAAGAAATAAAAAAATAAATAAAAAGATTTAAGATCTAGGAAAACTGTACTTATGGGGAAAAATATATATATATATAATTAATATTAATTCAAGTTCCTTCAAACTCTAAAAGTATATCCTGACAAATCATAAGACTGGATATTAAAATAAAATAACCATTATAATAAAAGCTAAAGAAAACACTCAGATCCTCATGGCATAGTAAATTATACCACACTACTCATATACCATATTCATTCAATTCCTAAATTCATTTAAAAAAAAAAAAAAAAAAAAACCTTTTAAGGAATCAGTTTATTTTTATACAAACGAGGCAAACTTTCACTGGTAGGAAAAATGTGAGGAATCACTGGCTTCGGTACATTATGTGACTAAGTTAAATTTGGATTTCAAAGTATATTTTCCAAAGCCATCATCACCTGCCAAATCTGGCTGGCTCCTGACTTAACAAGTATAATAGGAAGTTTTCATTTATTTCTACATTATAGTAAGACTGGTGGCAGTAAATAAATCAATCACTAATTAATTACTGAACAGTTAACACTGTATAAAACATCACCCTAACTACAAGACAGAGGAACACCAAGAGGGATAAAATTGAGCCTCTGCTGTCTGGAGCAAGTTGAGAAAATAACACAACATACGTCACAATATGACGTTATCAGATGACATAAGAAATGAGATGACAGAGGTAGTGTAAGTGACAGGTACAGGTTAGAGGCAGTGTCTGAAGGTCCAGAAAATAAAGCCACCAAACTAGAGGAGTAGGAGGAAAGCAAACTGGAAAGAAAAGAAGTGGTACAACATTAACTCTTGTGTCTAAATTGAGGAACAGAGGATATGGAGCCCCACATGCAAAGCTTATAGTGTATATTGTAGTTTTGATCAGGAAAGAAACATAATAAAACCAGTATTTGAGACTATCTGGCAGCAGGATAACTTAGAAAATAAGTAGGCTGGGAGCAGATCACAATCAGGTCACTAGGCCAGGAACCAGAGCTAAATAAAAAGCACTCTTGACTTCAAGGAGCTCCTAATCTCTTAGGGAAAATGGACATGTCAACAATGCAATAAAAACACAAAGTAGCAATAACTAAAGATGGGTGATTAGTAATACATAGTTGACATCTAAGCTACTTTGAGATACTGCTGTTTCTTTCAGCATTTCTTTCTTCCTTTCTTCATTTTTTGATGGAGGAGCATTCTAAGCAAAGAACTGTATTCTCTTAGAACACAGAATGTCAAAGACACATCAGAAAGCATAAGGCCTTGGCCAGGTTGTATAGTTGGTTGGAGGATTGTCCCATACACCAAAAGGTTGCAGGTTTGATTTCCCATGGGGGCATGTACACGAGGCAATTAATTGATCAATGTTTCTCACATAATGTTTCTCTCTCCCTCTCCCTTCTTCTACCTCTAAAATCAATAAAAACATATCCTTGGATAAGGATTAAAAAAAAGAGAGAGTGCATAAATACATGAGTTCATGTATGACTGAAAAACAATAGCCCAAAGATTTTAAGGTGTGACCTGATGAGATATGTGTTTTAAAAATCAGGAAACTGCCCGGCTGGTGTGGCTTGGTATTTGAGCATCGACCCATGCGCCAAGAGGTTGTTGGTTCAATTCCTAATCAGGGCACATGCCCAGGTTGTGGGCCAAATCCCCAGTGGGGGGCACGCAGGAGGCAACCAACTGATATTCTCTCTCATAGATGTTTCTATTTCTCTCTCCCTTCCTCTCTCTCTAAAATCAATAAAGAAAAAATTAAAATAAATTATTAAAAATCAGGAAACTCTATGGCAGTGTAGAGAGTTTTAAAGAAGAGTACCTGGTGAGAAAGTGGTGACAACAGTTGAAAAGAGCCAATGCGAGATGGCTGCAAGTGGGAATGATTCCAGGAGACATCAAGGAGGGGGAGGAGGTATGTGGAACTGACACTGTAGCAACAGGAAGAGTAAAGCTGGTGACAATTTATAATTGTATGCCTATATGGCTAACGAAGCATCACAGAATCATCATAGGAAGTAAAGAAAAGGAACTATTTTTATGGAAAAAGACTGATTTCAGCTCGGACAGGTTGAGGCTGAAATCACAACAGCAACTCCACACCTATAAGGTCAACAAGCAGTAGGGCTAGAGTTCAGACTCATCCATTTTCAAGTGAAAGGTGAATCATTTAAAACAGTATTTAATTCCAGTCGCGAACAAGGTTGATTTGTTCTGTTTTCATTTCTTTAACTTACCCATAAGGCATCAGAAGGACATCTAGCATGAAGTCCAAAAGCAGCTGCACAGTCTTTGGTTTCTCAGCAAGATTAAACGGAGAAGCTGATTTTGATGATTCAACAGGGTATTTCATGTGAAAAAGGGTTGGTATTAAAAGATGCATTAAGCTGAAAAAACAATTACATTTATTGCAACTACTTAAAAAACATGGTTTTTATACATGAAACAATAGACAAAACAAAAATCACATAACAAAAAGTGACAAATGTAGCAAGGGCCACTCATTTTCAATACCATTAACATACAAAGTCCTAATGTAAGGACTGGCCTAGATTTCCTTCTTATTGAAACTTCAGTCTACTGAGTGATAATTGCATTTAGCCCATCTGGCTCATCACCAGAAGCACCAGAAAGAAATGTACATAATATAAGCTCAGTGTTAATATATCTGTCAGCACAAGAGATTTTATATTAAACCTTAGGTAAAGTTCATGTCCTTTCAATAATTTTTTTTTCCTTTCCATAGTTAATTAAAATAAAGTTATTCTAAAGCTAAAGAAATTAAAAATCAATCAGGTCAATATTTGAAATATATTAAAATTTCCACTGTGTGAATTTAAGTAACACAGCTTCAATAATTCCTTCTTTCACAAAACTTTCTGCTATTGTTATTCTTAAAATACATGAAAACAGCCTGGCTGGTGTGGTTCAGTGGCTGAGCGTAGACCCATGCACCAAGAGGTCGCCGGTTCGATTCCCAGTCAGGGCACATGCCCAGGTTGTGGGCCTGATCCCCAGTGAGGGGCATGTAGGAGGTGGCCAATCGATGTTCTCTCTCATCAATGTTTCTATCTCTCTCTCCTTCTCCCTTCCCCTCTCTCTAAAATCAATAAAGCAAAAAACATTATAAAAACAAAAACAAAAAAAACCATGAAAACCATTTCAAACAGTGCTTGCTAATGTTTACTCATTTTACATGTAAATAACTGTATTACGACTCTTTATACAAATGTATATATTCTAAAAAGGTGAGCTGAAAACATTATTTAACTCTATCTTTCCTCCACAACTTCTCTGTGATGATCTCAATATACACGGCCACAATATAGAACTCTGGGCTAAGCCTAGAAACAAACCGTTTGTCTAAACCTTTTCACCTCTCCAATTCCCATATTAATATAAACAAGTGATCTGTTTCTTAAGAAAACTGCTCTCAAATTTTGTATCTTCCAACATAGACATGAAAAGCATTTTCATGTTTTGATGACAAGCATTTTATAACTCGTTTTTGCAATCACAGAAAATTAGTTGCTTCAAAAATCATTGAAAAAAAATGCATTTCTATTGAGAAAAATATTATTAGTTCTGCATATTTTTCAATATCCTCACATTATGAAATTTTATAACTATTAACAAAACAATAATGGTGAGCTGAAGTACCACAGAAAATTCAATTAGATGTCAGCTGAAAGAACTCAAGTGAAACCAAGGTGTGGACCTATTTTTGAATGGCAACTGTCGACCTGCAGGTGGGAAATCATGTACTTAAGGAAGACTTACCTGTCCTGCTGTGGCTGAGGCTTCCCTTCCATGGCGGTAAGAAGAGTAGGGGCCAGTTCGCACTGTTTTTCCACTGGTAGGCGAGGATAGCCCATCTTAACATAAATTATAGTGAAATTCTAAGGCAATGAGAGAAGAGCAAGTGAATGTGAAGGAAACACTCTAGGATTTCAACATAAACATATGACTGATAACTTAAGGAGTTATAACAAAGAAATTGTATCCTCCTTCCATATGCTATCATATGTGTATTATAGCTCAACTATTATATTTCAGGATGAATTCCAGCCCCACTTATTCAAAATGCTTGCTTTAAGATGGGCTTCATGTGAGGGAGCAACACCTAACCCAAAGCACACTTGAATACATATATCAAATCATCACGTTGTATATTTTAAATATATACAATTTTATTTGTTAATTATACCTCAATAAAGCTGGGGGGAGAGTACTCATGCATGCAATTACTTTCACTGAAAAAAACTAAGTAATCATTTGACCTATCTAAACCTACATACTACACATTAGCATCAGATCTCCCGGTTTGTTACATTAATCCTTTCAAGCTAAGAGGAAACCACATGTTAAATCGTGGGCTGCTCTTTCCCAGCTGGTCTGCTTTTTTTGAAGTATTATTCACTTTAGAACCAACTTCATAAGGTTATCCCTTTCTTTCCTTTTTAATGTTATTTTTCAATTATAGGTTATAGTCAAGATTATTTTATGGGCAAAATAATGAAGATTGATCTTAAGTCTGCTCTGTTTAATTCTGCTGCCTGCTCTTCTATAATGTTGCATCTCTAATTGTACACAGTTTAGTGATACCTAAGAGTATAAAGTTGCCACCCATCAATAAAAAACACAAAGTTGATTTAACATCGAAAAAAACAAGATAATTTTGTGTTAGTTTCAGGTGTACAGCACAGTGGTTAGACAATCATATACCTTACAAAGTGGTCCCCCTAATATTTCAAGTACTCACCTAGCACCATACATAGTTATTGCAATATTATGGACTATATTCTCTATGCTGTACTTTACATCTCTGTGACTATTTTGTAACTGCTGATTTGTACTTCTTAATCCCTTCATCCCTTTCCTTTAAAGCCAATCTATTTGGTGAAGTTACTGGCATACAATGTTCCTATGTGCTTAAAGAAAGGAGCACCTGTATGTGCAGAGCAGACACAGATAAGATGTCTGGACCAGTAGGAGGCTCCAAAGATCTGAAATTCAGATGTTAGATTAGACCTAACTGATTCTGCCTCAATGCTTGAAACTATAAGGACCAGGGGGAAAAAATTACCTGTCACCACACAACATATATTTTTTATATTTAATTTTCATGAAGAAAACAAGAGAAATATTTCTTACCAGTCTCAATTTAATCCAATTTTTAAAGGGTACCTCTCTGAAAATATTATATATATATATATATATATACATATCAGAAACACAAATGATTTTAAAACTCAGCCTTCCTACCCCTTCTTGCCATTTTACCCTTTTTTCTTCTTCTATTATCTATCCTTTATTCATGCCTATGCTACATAACCCTTCTCTTCTGTCTATTCAGACTGCTCTCACATAATCCTTTACTAAAAATCAAATCATTCTTTTATAGATCAAAATATCTGGCAAGTACATTTCACCAAAGTTCCTTTGCCCAATGTAAATGCCCATGCATGACCACATTCCTGCCACTTCCTTAATGGTAATAGACTGGATCAGTACTCAGTGGTAAAACAGTGTGCCATTTAAAAAACAAAAACACCTCGTGCTTCATTTAGAAATAGTCTACTATAAAATTCTAAATTGCCAATATATTGATGACATCTAATACATGTTATGAAAGAAAACTACAGTAAGTCAGAAAATATTCCAAAATAACACTCACTGTGACAAAGGAAACTGCAGCAGGGTCCTGGTATTGAACCAACAGTGTCTCTATTGGGAGTTGTATTTTGGGGCGGCTTTTTATACGCTTATTCAAATGGACCAACAGTTCCATTACCTAAAATACAAAGAGATTTGAACTAAAATTACTGATCACAATTCATTTTTCAGTCATTACTTATCTGAGAAATACAAAACAAATTCATTTCTCAGATAGTACTTATTGTTATAAACAGTGGCTACTTTGTTCTCTTTAAGAAAGTAAATTTTGCCCTGGCTGGTTTGGCTCAGCGGTTAGAGCGTCGGCCCAAGGACCGAAGCATCGTGAGTTCGACTCTGGTCGAGGGCATGTACCAGTCAATCCCTAGCCCCAGTAGGGGTCATACAGGCGGCAACCAATCAATGTGTCTCTCTCACACTGATGTCTCTTTCTCTACCACCTTCTCTTCCACTCTCTCTCAAAAAAAAAAAAAAAGGAGAAATATTCTCATGTAAGGAGTAAAAAAAATTAATTAATTAAAAGTAGAGTAAAGCCCTGGCCAGTATGGCTCAACAGTTAGAGCATCAGCCCGCAGACCAGAGCCCCGGGTTCAGTTTCCGCTAAGGGCACATACCTTGGTTGCAGTTTGTCCCCAGCCCTGTGTGGGTGGCAGCCAGTTGATGTGTCTCTCTCACATCAATGCCCCCCCCCCCATCTGAAGATAAATGCAAAAATGTCCTCGGGTGAAGATATAAAAAAAAAAGTAAAAGTGTAAACCTCACATCCCTGAAAGAGAGTATACAATTTCCGCCAAGAATCCATGCACCAGAATTTTTTACAATAGCAGTTTTATTAGCTTTATTATTTTTTTCTTTTTATTGATTTGAGAAAGAGAAAGGGGGGGAAGGAGGGACAGAGAAGGAGAGAGAGGAAGGAGGGAGGGCAAGAGAGAAAGAGAGACAGAGAAACATTGATGTGAGAGAGAAACACTGACCAGCCACATCCCGCATGCACCCAACCGGGGCTCGAACCCGCAACCTGGGTACGTGCCCTGACAGGGAATTGAATCTGCAATCTTTTGGTATACAGGATGATGCTCCAACCACCAAGTGAGCCACATCAACCAGGGCTCCATGAGCCAGAATTTTACTAGTGAATTTATTTTTACAATGTCCTTTGGTTAATCAAAGTCCCCCAGAACCTGTGAACAATGAATGCAACACACTATGCTATGATGCTAAATATACAAAAGCTACTTTTAAATCATGTAAGCTGGTCCTAGACTTTTTCTCCATTTTGAAAGGCCATAATTAGAATCAGGAACCTAGATTTCAATAATGGGAACAGAAAATTGACTTCATAATATATATCCATTTATTCACCATTTAATTCCGTTGCCAACTGTCCCAACATGCTTACCTTCTTGCGTACTCCTTCTTGAGTGCTAGACAGCTTGAGCAAAACAGGAGGAAGAAATTTAGATATAATATTCTGTAATTGTTCATCTGTTTCAGCATGGCCAAGTCGCAAAAAGACCCGTTCAAGCTGATCTATAATATAAAAAGAAAAAAAAAAGGAGAATTAAGCAAATCAAACACAACCAAGACCAATTGTTTTCATGGCTTAATCCTCTTATTGGACTGCAGATACTTTGGTCAGAACTTTAACCATTGCTAGCTTTATATGCAGATGATTTTGACACAGCTGTGGAACAACACTAGAAAGGGTTACTAACTAATCATACTGTCTTACAACTGTCCCAGTCACTTAACATCTGGGGGGGGGGAGCCACGAATAACAAAATTCTTTCCTACATACAAAGTTATCCTATTTTCCTAAAGGATTTTGATACTAGAAAGGATACAATTTTTTTTTAATAATTTTTCTTTATTGATGTTAGAGAGAAATAGAAACATCGATGAGAGAGAACATCGACTGGCTGCCTCCTGCATGTCCCCTCACTGGGAATCGGGCTCACACGTAGGCGCGTGCCCTGACCGGGAACCAAACAGGTAACTTCTTGGTGCATGGGTCAACGCTCAACCACTGAGCCACACTGACTGGGCAGGATACAAATTTTTTTTTTTTTTTTATCCTCACCCCAGGGGATTTTTCCATTTTCTGTTCAGACAGAGTGGGAGAAAGAGAGAGAGAGAATCATCAACGTAAAAGGGACACATCGAGTGGCTGCCACCCTCACGACCCAACCAGGGCCGGGGACAAACTGCAACCGAGGTACATGCCCTTAGCAGAAACCGAACCTAGGTCTCTCTGGACCACAGGCCAATGCTCTAACCTCTGAGCCAAACTGGCCAGGGCAGTTAAAAATTACAAAATTTAATAAATAAAAAATTACAAAATTTTTAAAGAAATCTTCTTGACCTATCTAGCAGAGGAAGGCAGAACTTTAATCAGATATAGGGACAATATATATTGAATGATAACACCATTTTTTTCTCACAATTCACACTATGTTTTAATGTGAATATTATAAAATACATACAATAAAAAATAAAGAGTGTTATAAAATGATATAAGAAAGTAAAAACCGTCCTCCCCACCCTCCTATCTTCCAGTATCACAGCTATAAACACAACAGTTTCTTTAAAATCCTGAAATATAGCCCGGCAGGTGTGGCTCAGTGGTTGAGCATCAACCGTGTACCAAGAGGTCAACAGTTCAACTCCCGGTCAGGGCACATGCCCAGGTTGTGGGCCAAATCCCCAGTAGAGGGCATGCAGGAGGCGGCCAATCGATGTTCTCTCTCATCGATGTTTCTACCTCTCTCTCCCACTCCCTTCCTCTCTTTCTAAAATTTAATAAAGAAAAAACTTTTAATAAATAAAATCCTGAAATTGAATATTCTAACAAGTCTCAAGGTTTTATTTCTTTTGCATTGCTTTGTTTTATATAGTGCAGATACACTTTGAAATATTAAGCCTCACTACTGTTATAGAGAAGGAGTGAAAATCTTAATTGTATAATAAAATATAGTTATATTAACACTGGACAGCCAAAAGCCCATTTTCTTCACATTTAATATGTATTTGTCCTCATTAATAGCTCAAACACACACATCCAACCCATACTGATCTCCAAAATTTTAGTCTTATCTTGCAAGTGTAGCATATATATAATTAAACAGTTGGTAAAAATACAGAGATTGAGCACAAATAAGGCCTGGAAGGTACTGCTGTGCAATGTATCTATCAACAGGTTGATTAGGCCAGTTGTTATATTTGACAGCAAGAAAAAAAATCAACAAATTTCTGTTGACAGCTGTGATTAAACAAAGACTGGGTTTCTTTCTTTCAGCTTCAGAGACTAAAGATTCTGAATGTTTTTTATTTGTAGCAGGAAACTGGGTAAGTTTCCAAGAACACAGTACTAGAACCCCTTGAATTAAAATTTGTCAAAATTATATCACCCAGCCCTGGCCGGTTTGGCACAGCGGTTAGAGCGTTGGCCTGTGGTCCAGAGAGACCCAGGTTCGGTTCCCGCTAAGGGCATGTACCTCAGTTGCAGTTTGTCTCTGGACCTGGTTGGGTCGTGTGGGTGGCAACCACTCGATGTGTCCCTTTCACATTGATGTTTCTCTCTCTCCCTCCCACTCTATCTGAACTAAAAAAAAAATGTCTTCAGGTGAGGATTAAAAAAAAAAAATTGTATCACCCAGTAATAAGCTACTAAGAATTAGGCTGGAAGCAACTACCCAAATACAAAAGGCTAAACTGGCTACTTTTACATTTATACCTGAACTTTGTAAAGAGATATAAAAAGGCTAACAGCTGTGGGTAGAATACAACATGCTACTTTTATCTAGTCTTTGACATGTGATCTTTTTTTAAGCACCTATGACCCTGTTTGCATACCAGCCATGTGTAATGCCACATCCTAAGGTAGACATTATTCCTTCTCGGGTGGCATTCAATAAACCAACCTTGTGCCACTGCCATCAGCATCATACAAAATTAATCTTTCCAATGGGGTAAAGTCAGGGCTAGCTGGTATAATATAGTAGTAATGTTGACAATCAGAATCCAGGATTTATTTGGGGAGAAAATAGAAAGCAGTGATGTTAATCAATTTCACAACGATTCAGGTTAAAAAAAAGTTCCAGTGAACTAACTCTATACTCAGTTAAATGTTCCTGATAGCCTATAGATTTTATAATGATTAGTTGTCCTATTCCTAAGAAAACTAATGGCCAGAGTACAATCATTTCATAAAATAATCAAATCTGAACCCTTCCATACATTTTCTTCTATCTCTAGACAAACCATTGCAGTCCCAAAAACAAAGCCTCCTACTCCAAAATCTATTGCTCCTGTTCCACAGAGCTGTTTTGGCAAATCTGGGAAAAAGTGGGAAGTCCATAGCCAAAACAGCAACAGCAGTAAATGCACTGTTAATTACACAGAAAAAAGAGATGGTTGGAATGTATTCGGATTCTAGACTTTTTTTTTAATTTTTCCAGGATTTTTTGGACAGGCGTTCTGGCATAGCAAGTTCTCTGGCAGTATATATGATAGAATAGCCCTGCCCCAGAGATAATTACAGTAAGGTGCTCAAGGAAGATAAATGAAGACCGGCGACCTATCAAAAAAAATGTTAATGGACAATCCAGTTCTCCGGGTATGTGAAGAACACAAGTGCCGTGAGAATGAGCAGGTGTCCTCTGCACAGGATACAGAGTACAGGCAAGCACAAGCCCAGGGTAACTTCCAGAATGCTGGTTCCATTGTGGTTACTGACAAAAACTTCCTTAATCTGCTTTTGAGACACTTTTTCTTCGTCCTCCCATGCCCTGGCTGGTCTCACCACCCCCACCCCCAGACATGGGCAGAGGGCCATCTATATTAGTTGGCTGCCCAGCACTGCACCTGCTGACCAGTGATAACATCTTATTGATGAAGTTTCTTCAAAGACAGAATCACTGCCCATTACTGTATCGGGCTGCATAACCAGAATGTGAGAGATCATTTCCACCAAGAAAGCCTCCATGAGAAAAACATGTTAAGCAACACCATGGGGATGTCTCAGCAAAACCCCAGACTGTGATAAACTACCATCAACCAATACATTGCAGGGGAGGGGAGGAAGGGAAAGATGGGAGGGGAGCCGACCTATTGCAAATGACTGGATATTTGATTTTAAAATTATTGTTCATTTTTAGGTGCTATATGGTATTGTGGTTGTGTTAGTTTTTTTAAAGGTTTAGAAAAAAATATCAGTGGTGATTAAGGAGTGTTCTAGGAGGCAGGAAATTGTCCTATATCTGGATCTAGATGGTTTTCACAGTTCTCTACATTTGTAAAAACCCATCAATCTCTACATTTTCACACATTCTACTATATCTATTATACTTTAAAACTTTATTTAAAAGAGTCCTTAGCCCTGGCCGGTTTGGCTCAGCGGTTAGAGCGTCGGTCTGTGGTCTGGAGAGACCCAGGTTCGGTTCCCGCTAAGGGCGCGTACCTCGGTTGCAGTTTGTCCCCGGCCCTGGTCGGTTGTGTGGGTGGCAGCCACTCGATGTGTTCCTTTCACATCGATGTTTCTCTCTCTCTCTGTTCCTCTCTCTCCCTCCCACTCAACCTGAACCAAAAAATGGAAAAATGTCCTCGGGTGAGGATAAAAAATAAATAAATAAAAGAGTCCTTATTTCTCAGAGATGAAGGCTGAAATATCTACAGGTGAAGTCACACAATTACTGGGGTTACATCAAATAATCAGGGATGTATTGGGAATTTGCTAAGAGAAATTTCAGATGTTCTCATTATTAAAAAAAATAGGTTAAGCCCTGGCCAGTTTGGCTCAGCGGTTAGAGCGTCGGCCTGCGGTCCGGAGAGACCCGGGTTCGGTTCCCACTAAGAGCACGTACTTCGGTTGCAGTTTGTCCCTGGCCCTGGTTGGTCGTGCGGGTGGCAGTCACTCGATGTGTCCCTTCACGTCGATGTTTCTCTCTCTCTCTCACTTCCTCTCTCTCCCTCCCACTCTATCTGTACAAAAAATGGAAAAATATCCTCGGGTGAGGATAAAAAATAAATAAAAAATAAAAAAATAAAATAAAAAATAGGTTATGTAAGAAGATATGTTAATTAGCTTGACCACAGTAATCATTTCACTATGTATATCTATAGCAATAACATCATGTTGTAGACCTTAAATATATGCAAGTTTTATTTTTTTAAACATAAATAAAGTCATGCCCCATTCAGGTCCTCATAAAAAATAATAATCAGGGCTGCTGGGATGAGAAATGGAGTGGGACCATATAACCAAAACCAAGATTGGTCATTAATTAATAACTGTTCAAGCTGTGTTGATAGTAAGCATCTGTACTTTGTGTATCCTTGAATTTTCCATTGTAATTTTTTTTAAAGTACATATACCTCCTGAAGCAATGATACCCCAGTAGCAATGAGCACATCTAACACCCAAATCTTGGTTTTTAAATACCATTCTCCAGCCCTGGATGGTTTGGCTCAGTGGTTAGAGTCGGCCCTTGGACCAAGGGGTCACAGGTTTGATTCCCAGTCAAGGGCACATA